GTATACCTTGAAAACAGTTATCGTCACATTGAACACAGTCACAAACACATACAAATGATACATTATCACTCTAATAAACTTTGAAGTGACTCTGCAAATCTTTACAAAAATGCTTTACGTTTCTGTCTTGTCCAAAAATATAACAATTCTTAAATTAAGAAGAATTGTCGAGACAAGAACAAAAGATTTTTGTTTTCTGTTACTTATTCCTTTAACCTGCAAAATAATCGACAAGTGATGTAAGTTAATCTTGTTTTTTAGTTGGAAATAGTAATATTTGACTTATCCCCATTGCCCCCCCCCCACTCCACCATAATTTAAAGAAAGTTTTTCTGAATTATAAAAAAAAGGTTTACAATTAGAAAATTAGAAAATGCTTCTTGCTTTAAGAGTTTTTAGATATTTGGATTAGAAACTTGACAAAAAGCAGGTCCTGTTGAACTATTATGGACCCTTTTCACAAGTCTGTTATGATGCATTCAACAGTGATCATACTCTTTAATCCTGGGAAGTTTTTAATAATTTTAATAATGTAAAAAAGCATATGAACATATATGTGCATCCATGAATGTATTATATTATCATTGCGTCAAATTACAAAAAAACGAATTACCGCTTATGCGAGGTGTTTCTAATGCAGCGTCTTTGGGGTTGAGAGTAAATTTGAAGTTATTCTCTCCTCTGACTGCCGTCGTCAGTCTCACACTATTTTTTTCCTTTTTCTGAAAGTCTTGAGAACACCGTCGTGGAGTATTTCTTTTATTATTTCAGCAAATAGGATTGTAAGATAATTTTTTGTTGAACTCTCCCATCCAGTGCACTATGAGTTTACCCAACCATGACGCCTTCCGCTACTGAGAAACTCAAAAACATCAAAAGGGTCTATTCAGACTCAAAATTACACATCCTGCAACAGGACTACAGGCGACGCAGTAGCGCAGTGGGTAGCCTTACAGCAAGAAGGTTGCTGGTTCGAGGCTTGGCTGGGTCAGTTGGCATTTCTGTGTGGAGTTTGCATGTTTTCCCCGTGTTGGTGTGGGTTTCCCCCACAGTCCAAAGACTTGTGGTATAGATAAATTGGGTAGGCTAAATTGTCCATAGTGTGTGTGTGTGAATAAGTGTGCGTGGATGTTTCCCAGCGATGAGTTGAGGCTGGAAGGGCATCCGCTGCGGAAAAACATATGCTGGATAAGTTGGCGGTTTATTCTGCTGTGGCGACCCTGGATTAATAAAGGGACTAAGCTAAAAAGAAAATGAATGTATGAATGTGACTACTGCTACAGTATTGCTGAAACGATCTATATTGTGCAGCCCTATTCCAATTTATCATATAATAACCGGTTAAAGGCTTCCTGTCAAGACCTCTGATTGTATTTTTTTATTCAAGCTTTATGCATTTAACTTATTTTTTTTAACACAATCATGTTTAATTGCTGTATTTGTGCAGAAAAACAACATTATCCATAATTCTCACTCACTAATCTTCCTTCGGCTTAGTCAATGATTATTAGGGGTCCACACAGTGGAATGAACCACCAATTACTCTGACATATGCGGTGGATGCCCTACCGCCACAAAGCAGCACTAAGAGTACACTAACACTTAAACACCTAGTGCTGGTGTGTTCTCTCATTCACACACATACTCATACACTACAGCCAATTTAGTTGATCCAGTTCACCTATACTGCATGTCTTTGGACTGTGGGGAACACTGGAGCACCCGGAGGACACAGGGAGAACATGCAAACTCCACAATGAAGTGCTACCTTCAAACCACCAACTTCCTGGTTATATTAGGCTTTTTAGCATATTAGGCAACAATGCTTATCACTGAGCCACCCACCCATGATTCTATGCAGATAATACCAACAGTATTGAGAAACCAGCATCAAAATAGATCTTCAGCCCACACTACTATCGAGCAGATGACGTAATCAGATCTCCCTATGCTTTCAGTATAATGAATAAGTCAGAATTATTAAGCCCCCCTGTTTATTTTTGACCCAATTTCTCTTTAAAGGAGAGCAGATTTTTTTTCAACACATTTCTAACGATAATAATTTTAATAACTCATTTCTAATAACTGATTTATTTTATCTGTCCCATGATGACAGGTAATAATAATTTTCTAGATATTTTTTCAGGACACTTCTATACAGTTTAAAGTGACATTTAAAGGTTAATTAGGGTAATTAGGCAAGTTATTGTTTAATGATGGTTTGTTCTGTAGAATATAAATATATATATATATAGCTTAAAGTGGCTAATAATTTTGACCTTAAAATGGTTTTCAAAAATTCAAAGCTGCTTTTATTCTAGCCGAAGTAAAACAAATAAGACTTATTTATAATGAAGAATGAATAAAGAATACTGACCAGTAGACAAAATATTATCAGATATACTGTGAAAATTTCCTTGCTCTGTTAAACATCATTTGAAAAATAATAAAAATAACAATAATTCGGGGTATAGGGGGGAGTAATAATTCTGACATCAACTGTATATATATTAATTTTAATGTTACTGTGTCAGTTCTTTACCTCATCAAAGCCATTAGGTATACAGTTCTGTACTTTTTATTGTACTTTTTATTGTCAGATTTATTTTGTCAGATTTCGTTTGGATAAAATCAACGTTTGTAACTGTATGGTTTTCCTATAGCTGGTTGCTTTATTTTATGGCTTATAACTAGGGCCAGACAGAATTTGCGGACATTTATTTTGCTATTTCAGCAGAGAATTTTGTAAAAAAAAAAAAAACTGCAGATTTTTGCAGAATGATTTTAGGAGTATTATAACTAAAAACTTAATGGTCCCACTTTATATTAAGTGGCCTTAACTAATAAGTACTTACACAGGAATTAGTAGTTTGTTACAATGTACTTATTGTATAAATACATGTATTAACTGTGTACTTATGCTTGATTAAAAACCTGTATGTAAATACATCTGTAATTAACTTTTGTAATTACATTTGTAAATACAATGTTGACCATCCCTTACACCTTAATCCACCCTTTAACCTACCCATACCACCAAACCTGTTCATAACCCAACCTCTATCCCAACTCAAAAGCACCACAAGTGTTCTCAAATACATAAACACGTTAAGTACATTGTATTTATTTTTTGATAGAAGTACATAGTAGTTAAGGACACTTAATATAAAGTGGGACCAATAATATATGAAATAAAAAATAAAACCTTTTTAACTTTTATTTAATGTTTACAATGCAAATTCAATTAGATTCACTTATTTGGTAAACAAAGCAAGTCCCTTATATAATATATCTACTAATGGAAAGAAAATATTACTTTACAAACTGTATTGTAAATAAATAATTCGAACATTTTAATATTATTTTATTATATCAAAATAATATTAGTAAAATGAATTAAAAACTGAATAAATATAAATTTACACACATTTACACAAGTAAATATGTAGAGTCAATGATGGGCTAAAATCTGCATAAATCTGCACATTTCTGCACGTGCAGGTTTCATGTCGGCCTACTCACAATTTTGACAAAGACTTGATTAAACTTCCTATTACTTAATTGAAAATATACATAACTGGTCCCATCACAGCAGGGGGCAGAAAATCACAGTTAGACAAAGTAAATGTGGACTCAACTTAAAATTTGATGGCAAATTGCTGCATTGCTTTTTAGGTTAAAGGTTGAGTCTGTGCAGCAAGTTACCTTCAAATTTTAGGTAGAGTCTACCTTTTTTTCTTTACAGTGTACTTGCTCTTTAATATCTTGTTGAATTAATAGTGCTGGAACGTGTTGCTTTTTATTATAATAATGTAAATCTGGTTGTAATGTTATTGGAGTGTATTCCACAAAGCATTTGATGATTGACAATTTGGTTTGACAATTTGGTCATCACAATTTTGTAGCTCATAGGTCATGGACTCATCCCATTAGTCCTATCAATAACACATAATGATGATTTCACAAATGTAATACCCCGAGATGAGGTCATAATTACTTTGTAAAGCCTAAAGAAAAAAATGATACAAGGAGCCCTTGTGTGAGATTTCGGCGCCACAAAACCCCAAAAGCTTTTGTGAGCTGCATCAAGATCTAATGGATGCTCAGTGTCCTCAAGGCTCTTCTCTTAACATTGATGATCTAATCACTTAATCCCCATTGTGTTCCCAGTGGACCTCAGTCCTGGTAATGAAAATGTTTGTGTGTGTGTTTCTACTTAACCTACTTTCAACCTCTTCCTTGTTTCTCCTGTCATTTCCGCATGTTATTCCATGTTCCTCTTTACTTCATTCTGCTCCTCCTTGCTCTTCTTTTTCTTAAGGGTTTCCTTTTCTTTTTGTACATGTTATATAGTTTGTATTTATGTGGATGTGTGATTAAAATCGAACATCATTGAACCACATTTGTCATTCCACCCTTTTTATCTTGTTTTCAAGTAAGCTGCTTACTGTAAATGTGTGACACTTCTGATTCATTAGTCGCTAAAGAGAATTGTCAAATAAAAGAACAGAGCAGTAAACAGTAAAACTGTTTGTTCTACAAACCAGAGTTAATCATTAAGTGCAATATTATGTTCAGAAATACAGTTTGCGAAACAGGCAGTAAAACAGCTAAACTGGATGACACAGGAAGTCAAACACATTACATTTTTAAATGCCAAAGTCTGCTCTTACATAAAAATAAGGTGGATACACAAATGGAAAGATGTGAGGGTCCACAAACTGCGGTGTAATAAATGTATTGTATAAAGTTAATTTAACACATTAAAGGCATAGTTCACTCCAAACTGAAAAATCTGTCATCATTTCTTCAACTTTTACTTGTCCAGATCCTGTGTGAGTTTCTTTTTTTCTGTTGAACGCAAAATCATTTCTTTTGAAAAAAGTTGGAAACCTGCAATCACTGACTTTTATAGTATTTGTTTTATTGCTAAATCAATGGTTTCCAGACAGGTTTCCAAATACTGAAGGTTTTCAAAATATTGAACATTGTTTCAACAGAATGAAGAAACTCGTAAAAGTCTGAAAACACTTGAGGGGGTGAAAATAGTGAGTAAATGTTTATTTTTGAGTAAACTTTCCTTTTAAGTGTTGAAATCATGTCTTTATTTTAGTTATTTACAATTAACCGCTTACATTTTTAAAAATAATTATTTTTCAACAACAAAGAATTTTAATGTGTATTTGTATTAGATAATGTGTTCTAGAAAATGAGTAGAAAAAATAAATACCTTATTTTCCAAAGTATCTCACAACAACCTCTATTAGGAAGTAAAAATCAACAAGCAAGTCAACCAAGCAAATTATAACTTGTCTATTTATATTTTTCACACATTGTTAGTTTTATTACTCAAATGCTACTGTTTTCTCTCTTTATATAAACAATAATATTACATATTATAGAAAATATGATAATGGTAAAAAAATATATTGTGTTAATGTGAATATATGTGGAATGCTTTACAATAAGGTTGTACTATTTAATGTATTTACCAACGTGAGCAAACACTAAACATTGCATTGAAAAGGGTATTTATTAATCTATGTTAAGTCGCTGTCAGATTACACGATTTTTTTTGTCGGTTACGAAAGTCACTGTCAGATTATGCATTTTTTTTCTCTTGATAAAATACTGACTTGTAGTAGGTAACAAAGTGCTAGACTACACGTTTATTCAAAATCAGTCATCCCATTAAGTATGCGACGAGCGTTATTTCCCAAAGCAGCAACAAGTGTTGCTTTAACGATATTTTCTATCTCAATTTCATTTAAAAAAAAAATCTTATTTCAGTCTTAACTCCATTATTTAAGGGCGTTTGTTACAACATGGATAGAATTAAACTTATTATTCCTTTATAATATTAACATATTTTCTTTGTAATCTAAATGTTTATTTTCCTGCCAGGGTTGCTTATTAAACACTCCTTAGCCTGAACTGCTGAGAGTGAGACAGAGAAAATGAAAGCACATCAGCATCAAGGAAAATCAATTGCTCAAGACATAATCTTTAAAATAATGAAATATAAAAACATTTACAAATATATGACAGAGGTTTGTGATACAACAATTAGAGTGAAGCATTCATTAAATCTTTATTTTCCATAGAGCAAAACAAATAATTTAATATTATTGTTGAGTGGCGGAGGAGCACAAACAAAAATACTTCAAAAAAACTTATAATTCATTAATTTTTTTTTCTTTTCGAATTTCGTTCGCTATAGTTTTTATCTTAATTTTTATGTATATTTTGTTGTGTAGTTATCTATAGACAAGAATAACGAATAACATTTGAGGTAAAGCACTTCAAAACAAGTCTGCTGTATGCGCCAAAACATGAATTGCTGTGAGATTGTGTTGGTTTGTTAAATAAAATAATAATAGGCTAATTTCAGATAGACTGTATTAAACTGTTTTCACTAGTAATGACAAATTTGAATTAGCATGAAATGCTTTTGCAATGTATTCGCGATACTGAGCATGTTCCCAGATTACCTTGAAGGAACAAACTCTGTTGGAAGGATGAGAGAACTCAGAAACTCGTTGTGGGAATGAAGATGTCTGCATATTTGTGCCAGTCTATCAGATAAAATTGCTTAAAACACCTTAATATTTTAGAAAAGGTAGTTAAAGTTTGCAAAACCAATGATTGATCTTATTCACCCATTAAACACCAATAATTACATATGCCGTCTACTTTTTAAATTACCTGACCGGTGCATTAACAGCAGGCACCCGCTGAGATAACCGAGAAATTATGTGCTCCTATTGCCCAGTGTCACCCACGTGATAGAACTCAAAATCAAACATGCTAGACTTTTTGTGATGGTGTCATGAGGTATTGCAGGCATGGTATCAGTTGTTGTGCCACATTACACGTGAAGAAACTATTCAATCTCGTGTCACAATGCCCATTTGTCTTTTACGAATCCCACACGTCAAGGAAATCGTGCCAAAATCATGACAAATTTGTGTGATCTGACCAGGGCTTTGATGTTAGTTTATGAAAATAAAGTTGCTCATTATTAGTTTGTTAACTCATAGAGCGTTAACTAATGTTAACAAGCATGAATTTGTATTTCATTAATGTATTAGTAAATGCTGAATCATAATTAATAAATCCTGTGCAAGTGTTGTTCATTATTACTTCATGTGATTAAATACATTAACTAATGAAGCCTTATTGTAAAGTGCGCCTAAAAAGAGTAATAAAAAGTCTATACACAAACATCACAGCTGACTCGATCTCTGAGGTTTATGTTAATAATCACTTTTTTTAACCATTACAGATTCTTGAGAAAAACAGAGGTGGATTACAGCAGCCATGGCGGCCATAGCAACAGTGCCCAACTACACCCCCTCAGTATGGGTACGGTTATGCCATGCCATCCCTCGCCTGAGCTTAACCATGCAGATGCGAGACAGCGTGTTCACTCCAGACAGCTGGGAGTACCAGCAGGTAACCCTCTCTCTCTGCCTTCTTGTTTCTCACTTTCAAAAACAATTTTCACACCTGACAGCTGGTGGTGGGCACGCTCATCATTCAGAGCGACACACATTTATTTCTGTCTCGCTCTCTCTATTTTGTTCTCTCCTTCGTGTGCTCCCTCTGAGAGTTTGTCCAAATGATATCACATATGTGCCATATAGCATGTGAACATCCAGAAACATTGTTTTTTTCATGCTGTCAGAAATATTTACTTATCGACTTGCAGAACATACTCTAACTCACAGCACTCTAATGCACTCTCAGAGAGATTAAACTGGAGTGTTAAAGTCAAAACCATTAGAAGCACTTTTCTGTCTGCAATTTATAGAGGCAAAATTGAGTTTGCATCTCACGTTTTTTAATGTTCAGTGGGTAAAGAACTGTAGACTCAAAGTAGCAGAGACTAAAAGCATGAAGGACTGATTTTAAAACAATAACTTTGTCATGATAGATATACAGTTTATTTCATAAGTGTGTTTCCACATTTTGCTAATATTTGGATACAATTTGTTTCATTTGTAACTTTGACTCAAAAGTACAGGTGCATTTAAAATCCTCTGTGAAGTTCTTTTACTTCAACACTCCTGTTTTTCCCGGGAGTCTCCCATGTTCCTCCCGCAACCCTCCCGTTTTGCTATATAACACCCAACTTTGGTACAGTATCCGCCGTATAGCAGCGGCCGCCCAAAACCAGGTGCATAATACAGTTACTAACACCACAGTACAGTTACTTTTTTACAGTTTACGGTTCTCAACACAGTTATTCAGAGACCTCACCCCCGAACACATTTTTGCTGTAATAAATTCATTAAACTTTTTAAAAATTTTGGTCCCATTTTATATTGTGGCCTTAATTAATATGTATTACACTGACCTTAATAATTCATTACAATGTACTTATTGTATAGATACATGTTTTTACATTGTACTTACGCTTGATTAAATATCTGTATGTAATTACATCTGTAATTAATTTCTGTAATTACATTTGTAATTATACTGTTGACCATCCCTTATACCTTAACCCTCCCTTAAACCTACCAATACCACCAATGCTGTGCATAACCTGACCTGTATCCCAACTTAAGGGCACCAGAAGTGTACTGCAATACATTTTCAACACATTAAGTACATTGTATTTATTTTTTGATGCAAGTACATTAGTTAAGGACACTTAATATAAAGTGGGACTTTAATTTTTAAATATTAGAAAATAAATTAGGGGCTTACTCATGGAAACTTTAATGTACCTTTGGCCCACAGCCCTCAATTAAGTTTGTTTTTTGGCCCTTTAAAGTTTGGGCACCCCTGGTATAGACACTATACCTAACATAATGTTCAATTATTCATTCATTTTCTTGTCGGCTTAGTCCCTTTATTAATCCGGGGTCGCCACAGCGGAATGAACCGTCAACTTATCCAGCAAGTTTTTACGCAGCGAATGCCTTTCCAGCCACAACCCATCTCTGGGAAACATCCACACACACATTTACACACACACTACAGACAATTTAGCCTACCCAATTCACCTGTACTGCATGTCTTTGGACTGTGGGGGAAACCGGAGCACCCGAAGGAAACCCACGTGAAGGCAGGGAGAACATGCAAACTCCACACAGAAACACCAACTGAGCCGAGGTTCGAACCAACGACCCAGCGACCTTCTTGCTTCTCACTGCCTCGCCCCCTAACGTAATGTTCTACACAATATTTTACTGAATGTTCATGAGTTTCCTGAATCAGTTACAGCTAGAGAGTAGCTGGGTTTCCATTCTAATATTTAGCTATTTTTTATTCTTTTATTCATTCATTCATTCATTCATTCATTCATTTTCCTTCAGTTTAGTCCCTTATTTATCAGGGGTCACCACAGCGGAATGAACCGCCAGCTATTCCGTCATATGTTTATGCAGCGGATGCCCTTCCAGCCATAACCCAGTACTGGGAAACATCACTTTACACTGGCATTCACACATACTCATTCACTACGGCCAATTTTGTTTACCCAATTCAAAAAAACGGAGCACCCTTAGGAAACCCATGTGAATACAGGGAGAACATGCAAACTCCGCACAGAAATGCCAACTGGTCCAGCCAGTGACCTTACTGTGAGGCTACAGTGCTAACAACTGAGCCACCGTGTCACCAAATCTTTTTCGAAGGAAAAAAGAATGCAATTCACATCAAGTTGTTATAGAGCAGCTGACTATAGTATTGGTTACCTAGTAACCAACAGTAAACAAGACAAGCATAATGGAGACAGCTGATTATTCACATGGATGTATATGGAATTCCACTTCAGTTGCCCAGCTTTATCATTACAAACATATACATTTTTCAACTTAAGGTTAACAAAATGCGCTAGTAAAATAAGTATTGTAAAGTTTGATTTCATGTGGACTTGAAGATGAAAAAGTCATTAAATTATCCACTTAACCAATTTGTTCAAAAGCTTCTGACTATTCAGCATACAGGATCAAAACACAACTTATATGTGTTGTTCTGAGACTTTGTCTCTTTTCATATGACAGACCAAATGTAGAAAGAGTGACGTAATGCTGTCTAAAACATCTTGTTTACTGAACCCCAGCTATTGTTGTTAGCATAGGAAGGGCTTGAGGTAAATGTGAGAAGCTGTCAGATTCTTTTGTCAAATGTTTGAATAATGTAGGCATACACTGGGAAAAATATAAATAATAAAAACTTTACTGACTCCTACTGACTGAGCCAACTCTTCTGTGGCAACATCAGCAATAAACTACTGTGCTCTGCACCAGAGGTCTGCTCCTGAGAACCCAAAGTTTATTTTCAACCTGCTTCAGCACACCTGCATTCAGGATCATTTGATAAACGCTTGATTAAGTGCTCCGGGTGTGTTTAATTAGGGTTGGAGCTGAACTCTGCTGGATAGTTGGTCCCTAGAGCAGGACTAAAGACCTCTGTTCAGCACTATACATACTGCACATCCATAAAGAAAACATCACAATTGCATGATTTGCATTACATAAAATTATCAAATTGCCAATACAAATATAAATAGTTCTTAGGTATAACCAATACTATATGTAACCATTACTATAAATTGCAAGCTTTAGACAGACCTTCATCAGTAATGTATGTAAATGACAGATTTTGCTTTAGTTTTATTTCTGTTAATTGTAAGTGTACAGATTTAAAAAGTCAACTACAAGTATGTTGTACTTAAACTGTGGTTCGATTGGATTGGAATATCTTTATTGTCCTAGAGGGACAATTTGGTTAGCAGCAATAGCCTGCACAGATCGGCACTCAAACAAACATAAAAAAACCAACCCAGGGTCATTCTGAAAACGTAGTCCAGCGGACGTGTCTGGAGACTGCAAAATACATCCCGGGAGGTACGTATTTGTGCAGTTTTTGTCTACGCGAATCCGCGAGAGGCTGCTGTGTGCGCTTTTCTTCTCTTGTGAGTGCCGCTCACGCCCGCGCTGTTCTCGCGTCAACCCACCAGAAGCCGATGTCTGACTGACCGAATGATTGACTGCGCGACCGGCCAATCGGCTGACCCACCCTCCTCCTTCCCTGAACCCAACCAGTTTTACCGACTGACTCGCCTGCCCGCTCACTTCCCTAAACCTGAGCAACAATTTAGAAAAGCCGTCTAGAAGAAGAAAAGCCCTCGTCTGTTTGTTTTTAAACACGTTTTCAGATTTCACCACGTTCTCACCCTGCTATGAACTCGTTCGCTTTATTTTTTGGATTCTGTTTTTGTCTTACCTGATTTCTGGAACTCCTCCTCTCTGCATCTGAAGTCCGCCGACGCACACGATGAGCTAACCGGACAAACTGATTGCGGCGGGAAAGCCCTCCACACGGAGGTAAGCGGTCAGCCGGCAAGCGCGAAAGGGAACGGCATCACACCTCCCTGTAGCGTTCGCTTAAAAAAATGAAATGCAGCCATAATTACCTCCCGGGACGTATTTCGCGGTCTCCAGAAACGTCCACGGGACTACATTTCAGAATGAGCTTGGGTTGCAACCAACAGTAAACAATTAAATTAATCATGATTAAGTAAAATAATTAAAGACAAAATCAGGGTCGTAAAAACTCCAAACACTGCATATTTTGTTCTTATCAAAACATCGTTAGCAACCAAACTGAGCAACATTGGCTCAGTAATGCAGTTTATGGCGTCACTATATTTGACCTGATTAATGAAGTACAAACTTGTTAGTTATGCCCCATTCATACGGGACGTCAGCGTCAACGCTTCCCATTCACTTTGAATGGGTGATGTCAAGCGTTGCCGAACTGCATTGTAGATCCATATGCGCCACTTCAGCATTGCTCGCTGCAGAAGTTGGGACTAGTTCAACTTTTCAAGCGCCGACGGAAGCATCAGCCAATCAGATCGCTGTATGCAAATACACCAGCTAGACAGTGGCCCATTGCTGACTGAATTTCATTGGCTGATGCTGCTATGACGCTCAATTTTAGCCCCAACTTCAGACCACCTTTAGTTAAGCGTTGACGCTGAAGCCCCATATGAATGGGGCATCAAGGTCTGCTTTTTGTTGGCCTGTTAATAAGCCTGTTGGGCTTCATTTTTAGAGAACCACCAGCTAGATGCACATTATCTCGCTTATTACACAGCTACTTGCTACAAAGGTAAGCAGTTAGACAGAAAACTTCAATCTGAGGAATAATAATTTGCTAACTTTTTAATTATAAGAAAACAAAATAACAGTAAAAAGAAAAAATGGCTGGATGGAGCCTACACAAACCTTCTTCTTTTATTATTCCATCACAATATGATACCAAACAGTCAAGAATATGTGTGACAGATAAGATTCATTAAAAATTTTGAGAACATTTTAAGCATTTTTCCTTAAACTGGAATTGTAAGCAACAAGAGTTTAATTTACAGCAAATTAAATCATTATTAATGTTAAATAGTGTAAACTTTAAGGAAGTGGAAGTGAAATCAAATCAGTGATTTACAGATTGTTATGCCTTTTTAAAATGTGACTGAGTTGACAAACTGTTTACTATTGGTTAAGATCTAAATACTTTCAATAGTTTTAGTGGCTGTTATCTAAGAATGCTTTGTAATGTCATGATTGACCAATTCCTCTTGTATTCATTCCTCAATTTTCCTCAAGTGGTCCTAAGAGCTGTGTAATAACAGTAATTATAGCTAACAACTTTACCTACTACGTTTTTCAGTGACCTTGGTTGCATTCTTTTTTCACTAACCTAACAAAAAAATATGCCCAAATTCGCGTATTATACATGGACCTCCCAACTTTGCAATTTGTATGCAAATTGTGATTTCAGCATTTTACAAAGTCAGATTGAATGACCTCTTCAACGCTGATTCATTTGAACTTTTAGTCATGGTTTAGGATTCTACAGTGTGAAATGCAAGGTTATGAATGCTCAGCAACTGGTAAATCTTGAAGCAAGATAACCAAAGCAAGTTCTGGTAGTATTTTACTATTTATTATTATTATTACATTTTTGTTTTTGTCAAAGCAGTTTTTGGAAGGCTTTATAAGCATGAACAAAACCCACCAACTGCAAGGGGAATCACAATGATAGAAATTGTCATTTGATAAGGGATTTAAGAATTTAGATGATTTTCAGTACAGCATCGTGGGTAATGTAGTTTTCTGCATGATTTTTTTTTTTAACAAACAAAACCAAAAACACCTGTCATTGAAAACCTACAAAGTTATTTAGCTATGATGGTTCCATGAAGAACCTTCAACATGTAGGGGACTTTTCTATAGTAATAAACGTTTTTTAGATGATCAAATAGAAATTTTCACTTTGAGGAACCAAAAAAAAAGTAATAGAAAAAAAATACTTTTAATCCCTCGCTTTTTTTAAAGAGTGTTGGAGTTCACAACTTAGATCTGCCTTTAAGGAAACAGTCAATATTTTTTTAAATAGGGTCATTTTACAAGATCCTATAATTAAAGTTTATTTTTGAATTCATTCAGCCAATCTCCGGGTCTGGTGGGAGCTATTTTAACTTAGCTTAGCATGAATTACTGAATTCGATTAGACCATTAGCATCTTCATTAGCCATTAGCCATTAACATCAAAAACTTCAAAAAAAAAAAAAAAAAGTAGATTATTTTCTAATTTAAAGCTTGACTCTTCTGTAGTTACACTTTAAGATCAACAGAAAATAAAAAGTTGAGCAAGATGCTAATGGTCCAATCCGATTCAATGATTAATGCTATGCTACGCTAAAAGTGTATCCGCCAGACTTGGAGATCTGCTGAATAGATTAAAAAATGGTAAAACTCAACTTTAGGTGACTTGTAAAATGAGCCTATTTCCAAAACAAGTGGAGTGTTCTTCACTTAAAAGGTTTATCAGATAGTGTTATTCATGTCCCTTTGAAGAATACTAATGGTATTTATGCTTCTGAAACATGACTTATACACTATATTCTCTTATGCAAATAAATAAATAATGTTTGCTTCAGATACTATTGTAGCACTTTATGTGCGATTCCATCTAGTGACACTATTAATGCAGAAATTAAACAGCTGCAATGTGGTTACCATTTGAAAAAAAAAAAATGAAAATAAAAAAATGCCCAACTGCAAATTAATAAAGGTGGAAGAGACAAATCCAGATTACGCCTGCTGCCTGAATGGCTTTAGCGGATAAGACGCAGATGATAAGAGAAAGATGTGTTAGGGAAATAACAGACTGTGAGAGAGATGGTAGAGAGGAGAAATGAGAGAGAAATACTCATGGATAATAGTGGGAACTGGAAAGAGAGGAGAGAAAAGAGAGAGATGAAAAAAACAAGAGAGAGAGAGAGAGAATCAGAGGGAAAAGCAGTAAATGTATTTAAGTAGGTCACAGATTATTAATAGAGATCCAGTGGCGTGGATAAAAAGAAAGAAAGGGGGAGAACAGTGAGGGATGAGTGAGCGGAAGAGTGAACCACAGGGAGACGAGAAGGAAAGAGAGACAGAGAGAGAGAGAAATTGTGGAAGATGAATTAGGACCAGATTGCAAATGTATAGTATTTGAAGCCTGAATGCACAATGTGTGTTTGAACGTGACGTCAAGCTTTAATTACACCTCCCTGCGCTCTCTCTGAGTGAAGCCTCAGTGCTGTTTTAGCCAATAAGATTAAAGAGACATCCTCCATTTTATGGCACACTGCTTTGCATACTGTATATGCAGATGCTGGAACAGTAAGCAGATATGATGTACGTGTACTCTGTGCTATTAAATGGGAAAGAAATGGTGCAGGATTTACCTTAAAATAATTCTCATTGTGTGATTGATAGTAAGTTTTACAAATAATTATAGTGAAATGACAAGCAATTGAATTGAATGTGATCTAATGAAATGATATATGTTCCTACAGTTTCTAGTGTTGAGGAATCAATTTTACTACATTTACTGCTACGTTTTCATTTTTAAAATGCCTTAAATTAATTTAATCAATGATCAATTTTTCATTGATTCATTCAAATATATATATATATATATATATATATATATATATATATATATATATATATATATATATATATATATATATATAATAACAAATTAATTCATTTAAATAACATTTTAAAAAGTTTACTTAAATGAAAAAAAATATTAAGACCAATAAACACACTCAAATATACACACTCAAAAATAATTGCTTTTTACTACTTTTGCTATAATTATTTTTTTTACAGCGAATAAAATAAATAAACTTAATGAATTGAGTAATTCCTAGTAAAAAGCAAAGTAAAAACTGAGCTCCTGACCAGACCCAAAAATATATAATATCATATTTTTGTAATATTTGATTTTTTTTTACATAAATAAAGCCAATATTTAAATTATATTTAACAAATATTCAACTCAGATCCTTTAAATCTCTGTAAAGTACTATATTAAGCCAAATATTATACTATAATAAAAATATAGTACTTCATCTTTCATTTTTCTTGTCGGCTTAGTCCCTTTATTAATCTGGGGTCGCCACAGCGGAATAAACTGCCAACTTATCCAGCAAGTTTTTACGCAGCGGATGCCCTTCCAGCCGCAACCCATCTCTGGGAAGCATCCACACACACTCATTCACACACACACTCATACACTACGGACAATTTAGCCTACCCAATTCACCTGTACCGCATGTCTTTGGACTGGGGGGGGAAACCGGAGCACCCGAAGGAAACCCACGCGAACGCAGTGAGAACATGCAAACTCCACAGAGAAAAGCCAACTAAGCCGAGGCTCGAACCAGCGACCCAGCGACCTTCTTGCTGTGAGGCGACAGCACTACCTACTGCACCACTGCGTCGCCCAAATATAGTACTATATAAAAAAATAAGTAAATTTTCTATATTTGTTAAATGAATAAAAAAATTAAAATAAAAATTTTAAAAACTCCCAACTGGTGATACAGTATATAGTGGGCTTATTAAGGTAGCAAAGTTGTTATCATTCACAAAACTACAAAATATTTTATATAGTCCATTACTATAAAAGAAACAAACAAAGCAAAATCAGATGATGATTAGATTACAATTATTATAATCTAATAGAACTAGTATAAAATAATTATTATAAAAATTAAAATAAGAGTCAAATAAATTACAGAGATTTTTTAATAACAAAATTGAATTAAACATTTTTTTTAATAGGGCGTCAGAGTTGCGCAGTGGGTAGCACGATCACCTCACAGCAAGAAAGTCGCTGGTTCGAGCCTCGGCTGGGTCAGTTGGCATTTCTGTGTGGAGTTTGCACGTTCTACCTGTATTCCTTCGGGTGCTCCGGTTTCTCCCACAAGTCCAAAGACATGCGGTATAGGTGAATTGGGTAAGCAAAATTTTCCGTAGTGTATAAGTGTGTATTGGATGTTTCCCAGTGATGGGTTGCAGCAGGCATCCGCTGTGCTGGATAAGTTGGCGGTTCATTCCACTGTGGTGACCCCAGATTAATAAAGGGACTAAGCCGAAAATAAAGTAAATGAATGTTTAAAAATAAATGTATATTTATAAAAAGTAATTAATAATAACATGTTTAAAATAAATTTTAGACATTTAACATTTTAGGATGGGCATCTCTCAGATGAAGATGGTCATATTTAGCATCTAAACGATTCTTAATCCTTGTCTTAGACCAATAACAAAACTGATACTGATACACCAGCAAAGAACTTCACGAACAACTATTGAGTGTGTGGTTATTTTTCCTTCTCTATTTCTCTCCACAGACTCTGCTTGTGTTGTCCAGCTTCTCGGCCATCGCTCTTGTACTCTCGCTGCTGGTGATTCTGTGTTTCCTCATCCACTACTGCTGCTGCCATCGGGGCGAATCAGGCAGAGATGCAGAGGAGGAAGAAGAAGATGATGATGCCAGCGGTGGCCATGGTTACAGTGGCAAAAAGGGGCGGGGCATCTGCTGTGTCACATGGGTGTCGGTTGCAGCCGTCACATTGTGTTGGTAAGACCCGCTAATGACAGTCATTTTCATGTGACAGCGGTAACTCTCTGATGAGAAGATGGTGGAGACATTTCTGCAAAAACAGCCTTTGCAAATTTTAGCTGGTGCTGTTTAGCGGTTTTATTTTTGCGTATGATCTATAATATAATATTTTTAATATATAACATAAATATATGAATATTGTTCAAGTAAAGGTGCATGGAACTGCTTTTTGAAAAAAAAAGTTTCTGAAAAGTGAATTCTGGCTTTTTTAATTTAACCAACGGAGAAACTAAAGGCCTTTTTGTTGCTATTAAAAGTTGTTTTTTTACTAAATGGTTTGCATGGATGTGGGAATACATTATATATATTTTTACAATCTGTAAAAACATATTTTGTTTGATTGTAAACTTTTTACTTCTCTGAAAATCGCATACAGCATAAATATACAGCAGTTTATCTGGTTTTACTGGATTTAAGGTATTAAGTATGGGTTTGTTTTCTTCAGTAAAGGGCTGATAATACTTTTATAAAGTTTCAAATAGAAATTCTGTGATAATTTTTTCCAAAAAAAAAAAAAAATTGGTCAAAATAACAGAAAAATTAGGGTTATTGATCTCAATATGTAATTCTTGGCTCTTCTGAAGTTAAAATTATTGTGTTGTCTAAAAATAAAACGTATATATTATACTATAACATTTTTAGGATTGGAAAATGGTCTTAAATATATTTATTCATTCATTAATTTTCCTTCGGCTTAGTCCATTTATTCATCACAGTGGAATGAACCGAGAACTATTCCAGTATATATTTTACACATCGGATGCCCTTCCAGCTGCAACCAGTACTGGGAAACATCCATACACACATACATTCACCACAGTCAATTTAGTTTATTCAATTCACTTATAGTGCATGTCTTTGGACTGCGGGGGAAACCAGAGCACTCTGAGGAAACCCACGGCAACACGGGGAGAACTTGAAAACTCCACATAAAATGCCCACTGACCTAGCCTGGATTTGAACTAGTGTACTTCTTGCTGTGAGTGTACAGTGCTAACCACTAAGCCACTGTGACGCCTGTCTTAAATATATCTAGTTTCATTTTTTTTTCAAACTTTTTGTGATTTTGAACATGAAAATAGTAAAAAAGATAATAAATAAATAAGCTGGAATGACAATGAAGGAAACAGATGATTAGGTCTTGGGTATTTAAAAGAAAGATGTTTTTTAGATGTTAGTATCTGCATGTTATTCATTAGGACATTCATAAGTTAGTGTGCTCCAAAACAGTTATAAAATTCACATGGAAGATGCATGTAAACATCCAAAGCTTGCAGGTTGTCACTTCTGTCTCTGGATCCCAGATTATTTTCACGTCACCTTATACTTCACTTTCTTATCAAATCTTGTGACTAATCAAATAGTCGACATGTCCTGCCTTCTTTAAGACACTTTTCATTTGCTTTTCATTTGACACGCTTGATCACAACCACTGTCACTGTGAGAGCTGTGATTAAAAAACACATCTATGACTCTGTAACATCAATTCATTTATTTGTTTATTTTTTTTTGTATTTTCATGTTGAAAAACACAATACTGTATATAAGATACCATATTTCTTTTAAAAATATAAATTTTTTAAAAATAAAGTATAGCATTATAAAATTGTTCCATCTTCAAACCTATGACAACATGTTGTAGTCTACAATAATTAAACTTAAAAGGAATCTTTTCAGAAACCTGCTGAATGTCGTTTCCATAAAGCTTATATATACATATACATATACATATACAGTTGAAGTAAAAATTATAAGCCCCCCTTTGAATTTTTTTTCTTTTTTAAATATTTCCTAAATTAAGTTTAACAGAGCAAGGAAATGTTCACAGTATGTCTGATAATATTATTTCTTCTGTAGAAAGCCGTATATGTTTTATTTCGGCTAGAATAAAAGCAGTTTTTAATTTTCGATTGTCTACAGAACAAACTTTTATGTTTAGAAATGTGTTGATAAAAATCTTCACTCAGTTAAACTGAAATTGGGGAAAAAATAAACAGAGGGGGTAATAATTTAGGGGGCTAATAATTCTGACTTCATTTGTATGCACACTCAAGCCAGAAATGATTTATACTCCTAGCAAATTCTAACTTAAAGTTTCTTTTATTCAACCTGCAAGTTTTAAGTTTTTTTATTTTACTGGAAATGAGAAAGGCTCATCCCAAATGATAATAAGACGATGTACAAAAGGCATCATTGTGGAAAAAAGTATTTCTCACTTTTATTTCCGTATTTACATTTGAACAAAAACTTCAGAAGTCAGAATTTGCCAGGGGTATTTTCGGGTAGATTGTATATGAAGGCTCCAAAGATATTGTATTTAGTTTGATATTTCTCATGGCCTACAATGGGACAGGACTTTGATAAGGTCATCTTTATTTAGTTTCATCAATCAGGCAGTTTTCACCATTTAGAGAACAGAAAACAATTAGTACCTGACATCATCCATTCATTCCCACAGGAAAAGCACAAATAAGAGAAAAAGAGAAACAGTCCTGACAGTATTTAAGCCATTTAAACCATGTAGTGTTTCACACCATAAAATGCAGAAAAAAACAGTTAAGGACTTCTCTTCTCTTATCAGCAACAACTTCAAACCAACGGCCCATATAAACGAAACAATATGAGTCTCCCTTTTGCTTTAAATAAAGATGTCATTCCTGTTCTAAATAAAGCTGTTTCATTTGCACATTTGCGAGGGATGATTTCCTTCAATTATGTTATCTCAGCGCACATATATTGGCAGAGCACCATCCCGTTTAATATATTCAGAGCTATGAAACCTAATGCATTCTCATGCCTCATTGAGTTTGAACCATCAGCACGATGCATTAATGTCCTTGATGTCGCACATATATTGCTTGTGTAAATTAGTATTGTTTCAATGACGTCACAGCCTTCCCGTCCACGCTGACCTCTTTTTCTGGAGAATTTGAAGGCTAAACAGTCATTTACAGTGTAGTAGAGGACTAAACACATTTAGGATTCCTATTAAATACTGTATGAAACACGTAAACACACACTTCTGCTTGCTTTGGCGTAATCTGGGTCAAACAGTTACAGACAGATTGGACTGGGTTATATTTGGCAGGTTTGAAGGGATCGGGCAAGCATCTGGCCTAAGCATTAATCTGAATATTTTAATGTGAAATAGATACGTAAATGAGTGGATTTACAGGGCTGTTGATTTGGATTCTAATGCTCTTTTTAAGTCCATTTTAAATGTGTAAAAAGTTTAAATGTTTTTTTTGGGGGGTCAGGAAGGATCATTTTTGATTAAATAATGCTTTTAATCAGCGGTTCTCTAGCGTTTTTTTTCATGGTCATTAAGAAAAATTATCTAAAGTTTTATTTTAAAACACTATGAAATTTTTTTTTTTATAAAATTGTGCTTTAAATCAGTGGTGCTCCACTGTTCCGAGCATGTGATCTACAATTTTCTATTGTCATTAGAAAAAATAAGTTAGTTTCTTTTAAAAACACTTTTAAAAACTATGGAAAACCTCATATTTTCTACGCAAAAATGCCTGCCACACATAAGTATACAGTCCCAATTTACTTAACACACTACTTAAAGGCATATTTCACCCATAAATTTAAATTACCTCATCCTTTACCGTCCCTCATATTGTTTTAAACATTTATGAGTTTGTTTTTTTTCTGTTGAACACAAAAAAGGAGATATTTTTAAGAACGCTGGTTGCTGAAATTATATGGGTGCCAGACTTTTTCTAAATATCTTCTTTTGTGTTCAACAAAATAAAAATACTCAAATAAGTGTTGAACAAGTGAAGAGTAAGTAAATGATGATAGAATTTTCATTGAACCATTTCTTTTAATATGTTAGATTGAGACTTTACTCTTAAATTGAAAGAATATGGCTGATCCAGATTAATAAACAGTTTTAGGATGCAACATTAAATAGAATTCCCAAACTAGTTTTTGTTATTACAGTGAAGTTAAAGGGATAGTTTACACTAATATGGTCAACCATTAAGTAGAGCAAGCAATTAAAGGGTTAGCCCTTTGACTGCATGCTCTACCAAATGGTTGACCATATTTTGACTGTTTTAAATAATGACTGCTTAAGTTATTTAAAGAATGACTGTTTTAAATAATGGTTTACACACACTGCATTTTGTTTACAAACATAATCCTGTTGCACTGCTACAGTTGATTTTGGTTTTATTGTAAAAAAATAAAATAAACAAGAAAACTTGTTAAATGAGAATCTGAAATATTTCATGCCATACTTCAAAAAAATAAAGATGAGTCAGTGTTCAAAAATGTTTTATTTTGATTGTGTTTTTAAATAGATTGGTCATTAACTTCATATTTTCAGATTATTCATAGTATATCAGATTATTCATAGTATACATTATGTATTAATTATGGTACTTTTAACATTTGGGTTGATATTTTAGAAATTATGGGATGTGCTGAAAACAATGCATTGAGTGTGCTAACTAGCGACATTAGGAGTTATTCTTTTTTTTGGTGGGGTAGTTAAATGGATAAAAAGTGTCTTACTGTGTACTCAGAATTAGGTTAGATATTAGAATAGGTTAGAATTAGGTTCATACCAATTAAGTAAAGGGATAGTACACAGATACACAGCCACAGCCATGTCACCCTGCAGCCCAAGACCGGTTACTCACTGAAGCTAAGCAGGGCTGAGCCTGGTCAGTACCTGGATGGGAGACCACTAGGGAACACTAGGTTGCTGTCGGAAGTGGTATTAGTGAGTCCAGCAGGGGGCGCTCAACCTGTGGTCTGTGTGAGTCCTAATGCCCCAGTAAAAAGTGAAGGGGACACTACACTGTCAGTGGGCGCCGTCTTTCGGATGAGACATTAAACCGAGGTCCCGACTCTCTGTGGTCATTAAAAATCCCATGGCACTTCTCGTGAAAGAGCAGGGGTCTAACCCCGGTGTCCTGGCCAAAGTCCCTCTATCGGCCCTTACGATCATGGCCTCCCAATCATCCCCTACCACCGAATTGGCTCTATCACTGTCTCTCCACTCCACCAATAGCTGGTGTGTGGTGAGCGCACTGGTGCCGTTGTCCTGTGGCAGCCGTCGCATCATCCAAGTGGATGCTGCACACTGGTGGTGGTGTGGAGAGACCCCCCCTCATGATTGTGAAGCGCTTTGGGTGTATGGCCATACACAATAAATGCGCTATATAAATACACATTACATTACATTACATACAAATGAAAATGTGGTCATTATTTTACATCCTCCACTTGTTAAAAACCTGTTTAAGGTTCTTTCTTCTTTTGAACACAAAAACAAGATATTCTGAGAAGCCAGTGACTACCACGGTAGAAACAAAAAATACAATGGAAGTCAATGGAAAATATTCAGCATATCTTCCTTTGTGTTCAAAAGAAGAAATAAACTTAAACAGGTTTTTAACAAGTGGAGGTTGTAAAATGTTGACCACATTTTCATTTGTATGTGTGTAATATCCCTTTATTGATTTGGTATAAACCTAATAAAATAATTTGGTATTACCAAATAACATTAAGAATACACAATACCAGCATGAAAATTCTTCTGATTAAAAGATTGAATATGATACCTCCATTAAAATGCCTCATGATGTAATATATTGCAGATTTTTGGCAATTTCTTAACATGACTTGCATCACTGCATTTGTAATTAAAGAGAGTGCACTGTGAGCTGATATGTCACAAAAGATTGATTTTCAGCGATAAGAGACTTTTAATTATCATAACAAGTACTGAAAAGTGAATTAGAAATGTAACACTGACATGTAGCCAGACAACATCTTATTAGACCACAGAGACCGAGTTAGGACATGTTTTCTTTTTAATCACATTTCACATCCATTTTGTACATAAATGTCAACAGCTTAAAACAAACAAACAAACAAACAAGTAGGTCACATTTTTTTTGATGGTCCGTTTGTTGAATTTAAGCTATATTGCATCTACATGCCAACTAATTCTCATTAGATTATAAGCAGACTTTTAGGTTGGGGTTAGTGTAAGTTGACTTGTACTTGCAAAGTTTCTTAGTCAGTTGAACGCCTGTTGAAGGAGCAGTATCAACAGATTTTAAGCAGACAGTCTACTAAAACTCAAATGCACCATCAAAATAAAGTGTTACCAAAAATACAGTTTTACCAAGTTGTGATCTATTAGTTGAGAAATACTGCAGTAATCCAATCCAATAATAATGTTCGTCCCGTACATCCCGAAATCTTGAAATTTGGGCTAAAATATTAAGCAGCGCCACTGTTTTTGACACTAATTATAAAAAGTAATGTCACACCAAGCCAACATAATAAATAAACATTTTAAAATATATAATAAAAAAATCATTCTTTTAATCTGTAATAACTTTTTTTTTTTAACTTAATTTGACATTTTCTGACAGATTAATGCAGTCTTGCTGAACATAATAGACATTTTTAAACGCATTAAAATAAACATCCAGACCCCAAACTCATTTATGTTTCCTAATTTCTCTTTCAGTACTCTGTTTGTGCTCTCTTTCCTCAGTCTGTCTTTGTCTCCACTCATTGTTTTCTCGTTCATATTTCTGCTTTTTGTAGTGTTGCCATAGGCGTTGGTTTCTACGGCAATAGTGAGGCGAACGATGGGATGTATCAGTTGACCTCATCCTTGCTCACTGCCAATTACACACTGGCGTCCATCGATCTTCTGGTGAGAAACACACACGCACTTGCACATAAACACACACACACACACACACGCACACACACAAACGCACACACACACGCACACACACACACACACACACACACACACACACACACACACACACACACACACACACACAAAAGCTTATCCATCAATCTCCTTATGAGGGATTGGAGGAGCACAGGAATTGCTGCCTGATTTTATTGTACTGTAATTGCAAATACGTTTATTTTGTTGGAGTGAGAGAGAGCGTTTGAATACATTTGTGTTTGAGATATAATCATCTCCTGGTATTGATTTGGCTGGTTGCTCACATGGTTGATCGATGAATGTGCGTCAGTTTGATTAATGACCTACTTTACTTGTACTGTACACTCTTGTAATGCCCTCTCCATTCATTCCTGCTTCTTTCGTTCCATTGTCATGTATCTCACATCTTTTCCACCACTCTTCAGTAAGTAATGGCCTATTCACACCAAAGAAGGATAATTGTAATAAGAAGTATGTAAGTGTCCACTCACCAGTAGAAGATTTTGCTCTGTTTATTATAAGCCTCGGACGCTTTAAAAGCCTGTGCTCTGTAAAGCAGCATGAATTCTATAGGACTTGTACAATTTTTGGAGTACATTTCTGTTTGTTCATCAGCAAGAAAAAATTCTATTCTGAAAATGATTTAAAAAATCATTCTTCTGTATAGTTATTGTAATAATTGCAGTGTGGGTCTAAGAATTATTTTAAAAACTATACACTCTTTATAGTAATATTCACTAACAATGAAAAATTGTAGAGCATTAAGGAATAATGAGTTAACATTAACATTAAAATAAAAATAATTCTCTGATTGTCAGGGGTCAACACAGCGGAATGAACTGCCAACTATTCTGGCATGTGTTTTACGCTGCAGATGTGTTTTACGCTGCAGTTGGCGGAAATGCCAACTGGCCAAGCTAGGACTCGAACCATTGCTGTGAGGCGACAGTGCTAACCACTGAGCCACCGTGCTGCCCAAATTTATATTTATATTTTAAATAAATAAATAAAAAGCATTTATTCAAGCATTCATTTTCCTTTTGGCTTAGTCCCTTTATTAATCAGGGATCACCACAGGGGAATGAACTGCCTTAAAAAGCATTTAGTATCACAGAATAATCCAAATTATTAAAGCCTATTTCCTCCATGGACTAAAGTAAATAAATAAATAAGGTTATTTGAAAATTCATATTTTTTTTCACTGCAAAAAAACTCATATTTGCAAGAAAAAAATGTCAAAATTGTAAGAAAAATTTATCACAAGTTAAAGCCAAAATTGGGAAATTCAGAGTTCTGAGATGTCAACTAAGAATTTTGAGAATTAAAGACAGAAAAAAAGATTGAATTGCAAATTATAAACTCAGAATTATGAACAAAAACAATTATTAGATATGAATTCAGAATCGCTAAATAAAAGGTCAGAACTGCAAAAATAATACAATTATGAGAATTACAGATGGAATTGCATGATACAAAATCAGAATTGCAAGAAAAAAAATTAATTGTAAGATATAAAAGAACTGAGAAAATGAATTTCTTAATTGGGAGGAAAAAAGCAAATTTATGCAAATTTGTCAAAATTGTGAAACAACTGAAACCTACAGAAAACAGTTGCGAGATCAACTCAGAATTGCAAGATTAAAACTTGCAATCGCAAAAAAAATTATATAAAGATATTGGAAAAATATATGAAGATATTGGAAAATTGGACTTTACGATTTTTTAATTTTCTCTAATAACTATTGCGATATAAATATGGTTTCACAAGATAGATTGAATAGCACTATTTGACTGTTTTCTAGGGAGTCTAACAGTATTTGTCTACAGAAATTGAATAATTGCAAAAAAGCTTTTCTTAAATTGTTTTGTCTTATTTCTAGTTAAAATATCTAAAAAAAAATCTTAGATTATGTACAAATATTGTTTTGTTTTCAACTTCAGAAGAATTAAGTCAAAATTAAGAGTTTTTCCTTAAAACAAGCTTTATTATCTGCAGTGGGGTAAGTAAAATAATCTTGTTTTCACTTTCAAATGTAGATATTTGGACTAGAAACAAGACAAAAATTCTAAGTAAGAAAAAATGTTGTCTAAGTCGTATATATTCAGTATAAATAAAGTAATTAAATACAGTTCTTACTCTATAATTCAAACTCAACATTGCATATCTTGTGATGTGACTATTGCCAATGTGCACATTATACAATATATTGTGCAGCCCTAATATAAACTCTACATTGTAAAAAAATTGTCTGGGCTTGCGAGTTTATATGGGGTCCACCAGTCTATTATTACTTCTTAATTTAACGGTTGCAGTTTACAATTTCTTACATTGTACATTTAAATGAAGTACTTTTCCCATCATCCTCCCCAGGTTTCAGACACTATTTCCGGACTCCAGCGGTCAGTCTCAGGGCCCTTGACCTCTATGGAGGATGTGTTTGGAGGACACAAGCCAGCGCTGGTGCCCACACGCTCTTGCAGGCGTCTGTCAGAGCGGGTCGTGTCTCTGCTCTCCAACCTGACACTGGGAAGAGGCCTGATCCCCATCGCAGATGGCTTTTACAGGACAAACGGAAGTGAAAGTATAGTGGGAGCCCTAACTCCTGCTCCACCTTCTGTAGCGCCAACCCTCAGTCCATCCGCCAACAGCATTCCTGCACCATTCTCTCCTGGATGGGCGGCAAACACCCTCATGGTGAATGAAGACTACAGGTGAGGAAGACTAGGGAAGATAATGAGATTTTGTAGGCTAAAGGGGACCTATTTTGCAAAAATGACTTTTATAAGGGCTTTAAACACAGATATGTGGAAACAGTAGATAGTAGATATAGACAGCCTGTAATAAACATTAATTGATTTTATTTTTTATTATCACACTTCATGAAAACAGTCTGCACTTTGATTGACATTCTCCCTTTGTACATGTCATCAGAGGGGAAAGTCCAACCTATTAGTGACTATCTTTCTCTCATTAGCATAGACAGCCCTGAGTGAGAAGCAGCTGTCAGCCATTACAGTTATAGCACTGTAATAGCCATAGTATAATGTCAGCGACTATGAGGCATTATAAATGTGGATTTTTAGAATGTACAAATGAACACTGTAGTTTCCATAAACGGCCTTCTTCTGAGACGCTTCTTTTGACTATCACTTCACTTCTCTGTTTTTTCAGAGGTAATGTTAGAATATTAATAAAATATTATATGAATGTACTGTATCTGCTTTATTTAGATATTTTTGAAATGTAATTTATTTCTGTGATGCAACGCTCGAACCTTTTGTTGCAACTGAGTCTTAGTTTTTGTGACCTTATAAAATGCTGAATACTATTTATTAATTGTAAACTGTATTTTTATAATTCTTTAAATTATTTGTTCAAAAGAGCATCATTTATTCATTTTCTTGTCGGCTTAGTCCCTTTATTAATTCGGGAATGAACCGCCAATTTATCCAGCACATTTTGCAGCAGATGCTTTTCCAGCCACAACCCATCTCTGGGAAACATCCACACACACAATTCTATTCTTGTTCGCCTAGTCTCTATTTCAGAGACACCACAGCGGAGTGAAACGCCAACTATTCCAGTTTTACGCAGTGGATGCCCTTCTAGCCGCAACCCATTCACACACACACACACACACACACACACACACACACACACACACACACACATACACACACACACACACACACACACATACACACACACACACACTACGGACAATTTAGCCTACCCAATTGACCTGTACCGCATGTCTTTGGACTGTGGGGGAAACCGGAGCACCCGGAGGAAACCCACACGATTACAGGGAGAACATGCAAACTCCACACAGAACTGAGCCGAGGTTCGAACCAGCGACCTTCTTGCTGCGAGGCGACAGCACTACATACTGCGCCACTGCATCGCCGAGCATCATTTATTTAAAAATTTAGTTATCTTTTGTGGCATTCCTGATTTCTAACTTCTAAAGCAATGACTGGTGTAGAGAATGAATGACAACAACAAACAAGCAAACATAAATACAATAGAATTAAATGAAATATCTTTGGTTTCTAGGAAGGTGAATATCAAATAATTCAATATCATTTATGGGCACATTAGCAAAATTTCAGCCTTCAAGTCTTTAATTTAATTTAATTTTATTTTATTTAATTTAATTTTATTTTATTTTATTTTATTTTATTTTATTTTATTTTATTTTATTTTATTTTATTTTATTTTATTTTATTTTATTTTATTTAAATGGTTACTGGGCAGTGAATTTTATGTTTTTATTTGTCATTTAAAAGTCTGACAACAGTTACTCTGGGTCTAGGATTTGAATCTAGCATTTATTATGTTCTGAAAATGTGGTTTAGGTGGCTGTCATATGTGCTGCTGCTTTTGGTGGATCTGGTGGTATGTTTCTTCATTCTCCTGGGTTTAGCCAAACAGTCCCGCTGGCTACTTATTCTGTAAGTAACACTCATTACTGATCAGCTCTGTGCAAGCAAGTGCTGATATCCATACATCATTGCTTTTATTGTGTATGTTTTGCGTCCGAATTCCCCAAGATAGGAAATGCTTACAGAAAAAAAGTCAATTTATTTTTGCTTACTGAGTCCCACTCAGGCACAGAGGGGCAGATGGTATAAATGTGTGTGTGTTTGCAGGATGACAGTGCTGGCCTGGTTGTCTCTGTTTATGAGCTGGGGTTCTCTGGGTCTGGAAACACCCACTGTGGTGGTGAGTATTCAGGCAACGTCTTCCCCGACACAAAAACAACAGCTCTCCGAGAGCGGACGTCCAGCACAGAAAAACCACCATCTGTGTGTGTGTGTGTGTGTGTGAGAGAGAGAGCTTTTGGAGAAAAATCCAGCCAAAGCTCTGTGAATGTGACTTTTTACATTTTAAAAGGTCACAACAGCCAAGATGCAGTCACTTATTGTGTTCTTATGAAAGAGCGAGAGAGGAATAGAGTGTGTTAGATTGAAAAAGGTTTTCCACTCTGGGAACTCAGCAGTCATGGCACAATCCCAAAAAGGCTTGAAAATAGGGCAGAGATTAAAGATTCAGTGTGAGTGTGTGTTTGTGTGTATGTGTGTGCGTGTGTGTGTGTGTGTGTGTGTGTGTGTTTCTTTGTATAAAAAATGGGGGGAGGTATAAAGGGGATTGGATGCTGGCATGAAGATGAGCATAAGAGATCTTAAAAGCAATGAGAACAAAAAGAAGTGAGTGATGTTGAGTGTATCAGAGAGGAAGTGAGAAGTCAGCTTATTTCATTTGAAAGATAAGTATAAATATGTAAGATATGAAAATACAAATGTAAATAAAAATAAATTACAATTGCAAAGAACAACAAGTACAACATAAGAAATTAACAAGACCACATTTAACCGATCAAAAAATGACTATGCAAAATATGTCTTTCCACAGGCATATTAAGCTGTTTAATATGCAATTTAGCATATTAAATTATTTATAAAGGATCATGGAAAACTGAATAATAATAAAAAAACTAAATAAATACTAAAACATATTAAAATATTGTAGTTAAATAGTTGTTTTTAATCATTTTGAACACATTTCGTGAATGTTAGTCAGTATTGGATAGATTGCTTACATACTGTATTCTGCATTTTACCAGTTGTATTATGAAAATTGTAGTTAGTCATTTAATTTGGATTACATATTTTAGGAAATGTGTTTTGTCTACTTTTTGATTGTTTTTAGATTACTCTTGACCTAAATTTGCCTCAAAAGCAGTAACAACAAAAATATTCTGAAACAATAGATTTCAAAATAATCTACATTGACATTTTGTTTTGTTAATATTCAAGCTAAACGATATGACATGCAATATAAAATATACAGTTAGGTCCATACATATTTGGACATCGAAACAATTCTTCATTTTTGACTCTACACCAACACAATGGATTTGAAATTAAACAAACAATATGTGCTTTAACTGCAGACTGTCAGCTTTAATTTAAGGGCATTTACATCCAAATCAGGTGAACAGTGTAGGAACTACAACATTTTACATCTGTGTCTCCCACTTGTTAAGGGTCCAAAAGTAATTGGACAATTGGCTTTTAAGCTGTTCCATGGCCGGGTGTGTGTTATTTTATCCCAATTACAACAAGCAGATAAAAGGTCAGTCAAGCGAGCCATCATTAGGCTAAAAAAAACAAAACAAACCCATCAGATTTGATGAGATAACAAAAACATCAGGCGTGGCCAAAACAACTGATAAGAACATTCTTAAAAAGAAAGAGTGCACCAGTGAGCTCAGCAACACCAAAAGACCCAGAAGACTATTGAATACAACTGTGGTTGATGACTAAAGAATTGTTTCCCTGGTAAAGAAAACACCCTCCACAACAGTTAGCAAGATCAAGAACATTCTCCAGGAGTTAGGTGTATGTGTGCCAGAGTCAACAATCAAGAGAAGACTACACCAGAGTGAATAGAAGGTTCACCACAAGACGTAAACCATCGGATAGCCTTAACAGAGCCTAAACAGGAAGGCCAGATTAGAGTTCTAAAAAAGCATTCACAGTGCTGGGACAACATCTAATGGACAGATGAGATCAAAATCAACTTGTACCAGAGTGAGGGGAAGAGAAGAGTATGGAGAAGGAAAGGAACTGCTCATGGTCATAAGCAGTGAAGCATGGTGGTAGTAGTGACATGGCGTGGGCATGTATGGCTGTCAATGGAACTGGTTCTCTTGTATTTATTGATGATGTGACTGCTGACAAAAGCAGCAGGATGATCTCTGAAGAGTTTCAGGCGATATTTTCTGCTCATATTAAGCCAAATGCTTCAGAACTCATAGGACGGTGCTTCACAGTGCAGATGGAGAATGAACCCCAAAGTATACTGCAAAAGCAACCAACGAGGTTTTGAAGGAAAAGAAGTGGAATGTTTTGCAATGGCCAAGTCAATCACCTGATCTGAATCTGATTGAGCTTGCATTTCACTGGCTGAAGACAAAACTGAAGGGAAAATGCCCTAAGAACAAGCAGGAACTGAAGACAGTTACTGTAGAGGCCTGGCAGAGCACCACCAGGGATGAAACCCAGCATCTGGTGATGTCAATGCGTTCCAGACTTCAGGCTGTAATTATCTGCAAAGAATTTGCAACCAGGGGGCAGGGGTGTAGTGGACATTTTAAAAGTTTGGGGGACATTTTAAAAGTTGAATGAGATCCGAAAGTTTACATTCATATAACTATTAATCACCTGTTTTTAAATGGTCTGGCTGTATAAGTAAGGGCCACATCCCCTCAGTTGCTACGCCTCTGTTTGCATCCAAGGATTAAAAAGTGAAAGTTTGATTTATGCTTATTATTCTGTCCCATTACTTCTGGCCCTTAACAAATGGGAGGCACATGCAAACGGTTGTAATTCCTACATCGTTCACCTGATATGGATGCAAATATCCTCAAATTAAAGCTGACAGTCTGCAGTTAAAGCACATCTTGTTTGTTTCATTTCGTTTCATTGTGTATATATAGAGCCAAAATGTTAGAATTGTGTCAATGGCCAAATATTTATGGATGTAACTGTATATATTTTGTTTAGAAAAAAAAATGTAAAGGAGAGAAATAGGAAGAGTCAACATATTATTGGTAATTCGCTGCCATTGTTTGTTTAATTAGTAATTAGTTAACATTAGTGGAGAGCAGGGACTGAAGTACCATTTTTTTATTTTAAAAAATTAGTTAAGAAAGAAAGAAAGAAAGAAAGAAAGAAAGAAAGAAAGAAAGAAAGAAAGAAAGGAAAGTGACAGGAAGAGATGGCCGTTGCTGGCCATCAAAACAAGGCTTTCATTGTACAGATTCAGCTAACAGGAACAATTGCCTAGTGCTCCCATTTATAATACACACACACATACACACACTCGCTTCTTCTCTATCGCTCTTTCACTCTCTTTTTTTTACCCTCTTTAGTCCACTTGTGCAGCTCTTGGTAATTTTGAGTCCTCTTCACTTTGATTAATTACTTACATTCCACCAGGGAGAGCAAGTGTGTGATAAAGAGACACTGCAGAGCGGACAGATGAACAATTTGAGGGATGAAAAAAAATGAAAATAGGGTCAGTTTGTAAGTGTGTCAGTGAAAACTGTAGATCAATAGCAGTCAGAGCGGCGGGACGGAGAGACTGAGGGAAGTATGTCACTTGGTCACTGTGCCGCACTGTTGACATCTCTCTTCTGTATTCACTTTAGTGCTCAATTCTTTTTCTTGCTGTCTTTCTCTCTATTTTTTCCTCTCTCAGGCCCTGAGTGATTTTTGCTTTGACCCAAACACATTTGTGCTCAACTCCACTCACTTCAACTCTGGGACAAGCCCAGGTGCTGTAAAGCTCTTTCTTACACATTTGCTCTGTTTCAAAACTTATTGAGTTGGCTTTGTAGGGAGCACATCTGAGTTAAATATGAAGGCTATAGAAAGAAGACGAATGTCCAGCATCATAACAAGCTTCATCTTTTTATTTTTATAGCCAAAAATTACCAACAAACAATTAGTTTCAATGGTTGCACCCACTTTTATGTGAAATTATGAGGTCAATATTGTGCAACAGTTAGTCTCTGAACCTAAAAACTTTGCTCATTTTGTCCATAGAGAAATCGTCACCTTGGAATTATAAGGTTCTAACTGCATTCTAAAGGACTTTGAGATATTGAGCTTCAAAGTTTTTTGCCATTTATATAGCAAACAATATGTGTGTAACAGTTGTCCTTAATACATTAACATGACAGAGAGCAAAAAATGTACTCCAAATGTACTCAAAATTCTCTTAAATTTTCAAATCGGGGTACCAAACAGAGCAAATGCAGATAGAATATTCTAAAAAGTTATTTTCTGCTTGGAATTCTAAGGTTCTGTCTGGCAGATCATTAATTGAAACTTTACTTTTCAAGAAATACAATCAGTCTGCTTATTAATTTAATAATAAGAATTGGTGTTGTAACAATGTTGATGTTTGAGAAAGTAAAATTTTTGCATTTATTTAATGTTGAATTTATATTTTTTTCTTGTTCAAATTAAGCATACAAGGCTGTGCTAAATGTTTTTTCCAGTGCATATGTTCATTTTTTGTAATCAATATGGTCATATTTATTGTTGTAATTAAGACCTTCAAATCAAATTAATTATTTGCCCTTCAAGCCTAAAAGAGTATATGCCGAAGCATCCTAATAGGACTTTGAATTTGCCAGTAACCTGGTTTAACCGCTTCCGGACAACTCAATGCCAATGCAAAAATTGGCACATTTAAGGTCAATTTTCTTTAAAAATCAGCGATCTCCACTGGCTGAGTGATATCCGATATAAAGTGGGTCTCAGATTGTAAAAGAAGCACTGCATTAAATTACATTTCCCCCAGCCATGTCTTAGTAATATGAGCATTTATTTTACCCTAGTATATTCAATGGAGCTTCTGCGCTATCCTGCCTATTCTGATGGGCATGTGAGAGCATATGGCTTTTTGTCTTGTTTTATGCTTGAACATTGATTGCTGTAAAAGGAACCGTATAGATTGGGAAAAAATTCACAATAACAGGTTACCGGAAGATTGTCAGTATGGGAAAAACACTAGCTCGGCATATACCGTATATCAAATTTAAAGACTTTAAAAGAAAACAGACAAAGAGCAAATTAGTTCTTTAACAAAGTTTAATAAACACAGAAAAATGTTTCACCAGCTATATATACACAAATAAAAATATTTCACATTTAATATATTACATTTTTCTTTAACAACAGAGCAGTCCAGTGGAAGGACAAAGAAAGCTGATCTTGATTGGTCTTCATGTGTGCATTTGAAATGCTAAAAGAACCTTATAGAGCCACGCTAGAATTCGACCTTGCAGATAAAAACCTTTTTCGTTTTTTAAATAAAAAGTCTTAAAATATAAACAACTTGTAAAAAATGTAAATAAAAACATCATATAATGTAAATAAGTTGTCATTTAATAAAAATATGTGAATATCTCAATTTTGAGAAAAATGTCAGATAGAACCTTTTTAAAGATTTATTTATTAGCAGAAAACATACAGAATACTACATTACCCATGATGCTATGTCAGCATTTCATCCATCTCAGACTCACATTTAGCAAAATCTGGCAAAATATATTTTGTAATAAACTTGAAGTATATCATTAACAGATCAACCAACAACTTCAAATACAGTTGAAGTCAGAATTATTAGCCCCCCTGATTTATGAGACCGCTTGTTTATTTTTTTCCCCAATTTCTGTTTATAGGAGAGAAGATTTATTCAACACATTTCTAAACATAAAAGTTTTAATAGCTAATGTCTAATAACTGATTTATTTTATCTTTGCCATCACGACAGTATATAATATTTTTCTTGATCTTTTTCAAGACACTTCTATACAGCTTAAAGTGACATTTAAAGGCTTAACTAGGTTATTCAGGTTAACTAGGTAGGTTAGGGTAATTAGGCAAGTTATTATATAACAGTGATTTTTCTGTAGATTATCAAGAAAAAATATACCTTAAAGGGGCTAATAATTTTGTCCCTAAAATGGTGTTTAAAAAATTAAAAACTGCTTTTATTCTAGCCGAAATAAAACAAGTACAAAATTCAAAGGGGGCTAATAAATCTGACCAACTATATATATTTTCTTTTTTAAGATTATCGTGTTGTTCACAATGTTTCAATCATAGCTCTTTCCCTCATTATAGCCTTAAAGGTGCAGTTAAATTTTGCCATCATTTTGTTGTTTACAAAAGAAGATTTTTTTTTTTTAAAAGTTGGAAACCTGTAACCAAATGAAAAGTATTTATTTTTTGCACTGTGGATTTAAATGGTTACAGCTTGTTAACATTTTTCAAAATATTTTCTTTTGTGTTTAACCGAACGAAAAGCTCAAACTAGTTTGGAGCAAGGCCATTTTTTTAATCTATTTTTAACTATCCCTTTAAGTACACGGTCTTGTACTTTTGACTTTTTGTTTGATTATCAAATAACTAAAAACAATTATTTATCGGACTTACACATTTTAAGGTAATTGGTTGCAAACTATTTATATGGGCTGAATTTAATCAAACAAATGAATTTGAACATTCTAAATGTTATTTGTTTGTTTAAATTCAGCCCATATACATTGTTTGCACACACCTAAATAAATCAAATGAATATTTTTTTTACAGTTTAGACTTCTTTGTTTCAAGTCAAAGTTTGTAATGTTATGATTATAATAATGAAGTTCTTCATTGTTTATTGGTTTGGTTTAAATGTTTTAACAATGACTTAATGGTTTAAATAATACTAATAAGAAAAAATACTTCTAAAACCAGAGCTGATGCTTTTTTTACTGTTCAGTTGACACAGAAAAGCAAGATGCATGGCAGTGGAATGCAAAAAAGAAAAAGAAAACAAAATAAAAAAGGTTTATGGATTCAAATTTGAACTTTTTCTACTGAACTGGAATTTAAAACATTGCGTCACACACAAGCTGCTTCAAAGGATGCAAGAAGCAAACACAGTGGTCAAACACGTCTGTCTAGTGCATGTCTACATATTAAAACTATGATAAAACAGTGGAATGTAAAAAAACAGCCCCTATGTAGGCAGTAGCAGCTCACGAAGTATTGAAACAGAACTGTCCGACCATCTGCCTCCAGCTGAGACGCATTCATAATCTTCTGCACCTCTTTCTATACATATTTTTAATTTTTTCTCACTCTCTCTTCTCTCCAAATAGAAGTCCTGGATTATTACCTAACCTGCAGCAGGAAGATGAGCAGCCCTTTCCAACAGGTGCGCGATCTTGTTACATGATGCTGCAGACGGTGATGTCATAGAGATTAGTGAAGGAGTAGAAAATAGAACATTAATATGCTATCACAAGGCAGAATACCCCAAATATAAGGAATTATGGTCATGTCACAAAGCACAGATTAAGATTAGAAAGCAATGACATTTATGTCACGGTGCAGATGAACAGACAAAAAGAGGATTATGACATTATAATAAAGACATAGACCGACAATTTTTGGAGGAGCCGATGAATTAATGAGGGAATTCATAAGGTCATCAAATTATAAAAACAGTGAAATAATATTAGGCAAAAAGAAGCTGGTTTAACACTGACCACACACAAGTACACACACACACATTTGATTAATTTAATTTGGAATGACTAATACTAATTAAAGCAACACAGCATCCAAATAATCGTAAGGAGCCCATGATGATACACAGTACAAGCAGCAGATACAACCATTGATTTTCTTTTGCGTGGCAATATTAAACATTCAATCCATTCTATAGTATTAAGTAAAGGAATTAGGGGTAGAGATGGCATCGTCTTCTCCACACATGAAGACTGCCTATTTTAGCGGACACAGATCAATACTTTGCAATTTGTTTTTTACTGAGTTTGGCAATTTGTAGTCCCCTCACACACAGTTTATGAACGTGCCCTAGACTACCGTAGATTAAAACTACCAACTTTGTGTTGTAGCCACTCATTTTTAGAGCATTTACTAATGGTTGATATTTTAGCTTTTTTTTTCTGAATAGCACAGATCCATATATGCGTCAAAACAGCAGTCCTTAATTATTAGTACAGGGTTTCTGCAGACTTTTTAAAGACCCTTTTAAGACCATTATGATTTTAGATGTATACAGGGCTAAACACTAAGGATTTTTTTTTTCTAATGGCCCGGTTACTTCTGTAAATAGTATTTGTATTAATAAAAATTTTGTAAAGGGATGTGTTGCTTTAGTTTTGTTTCCCTATTTAGAGAATTTGCTGTAAAAATGTCTTAACAATACATTTTTAATGTATCAAACACTCTTTGCAATAACTACTTAAATATATTTAAAAAGATTTTCTTATGGATTATTAGTGATCGGGTGTCAACCGATTGGGTAGGAATACAAAATCAAACTACTTTCTTCACACTCTTGTGTGGTCAGTTTGTTCGGTAGCTCACTTTGTACTTTACACTTTTGAAAAACCAAAGCCCAAGAAATGTATTTCAGATTTGTCAAAATGCAGACAGTGCCCTGTCATTGTAAATGTGCAACAAATGTACCTGGAACAACAAAAATGTAGGCTGAAGCATATATTTCCAGTAAGTCTGACTGAAGTGTTTCAAGACATGGACAAAATGGTTGGTACCCTTCCATTGAAGAAAAAAACCCTCCGTGTTATGATTAATCAAAACATATATTGTAGTTCTTAACAGACATTTTTCTTTCATTTATTTATTCATTTTCTTTTCGGCTTCATTAGGTATATTTTTATTAGTTAATGTCAATATGTGTGCAGTTTGAAGGGTAATGGAATCAAGACTACTGTTCAAAAAAGAAAAGGTCAAAAATGGCTTTAGTGTGAAGAATGATCTACAAAAATAGCACTTTTCTACTATAAATAACTTTTTGTTGAATATAAAGGTTCTTTTGATTAAAAAGGTTCCTCACAGAATGGCAAAAATATTGTGTTTTCCCTCCATGCTAACAACATGCCAGTTAATAATGTAAAGAAGAACAACATGCTAACCCGTACAGGAAAAATGCTAACAACATGCTAATCTGTAAAGGAAACATGCTAGCAAATCCCGACAGGAAACATGCTAGCAACATGTTAATTAATACTAGAAACATTAAAACAACATACCAATGCATACTTGAAACATGCTAGCAACATGCTAATGCTTACTCAAAACTTGCTAGCATCATGCTAATTCATACTGGAAACATGTTGTCAACATGCAAATCCATAATAGAAACATGTTATCAACCTAGTATTTCATGCTAAATGCATTCTAACAACATATTAATTCATATCAGAGATATATACACTAGATATCGCATAAAGACCCTGAGCATGCGTCAATACTGCCACCACTTTTGTACAGTGCTCCCAGGACGAAAGTCATTTGACTGCACTAGTCAAAATTAAAACCAATGTGATGAAGACGCTGGACTTTAGCGCTGTGTACAGGTGTGGTAACGAGCAAACAAAGAAAACGAAGCATAAAGGCACAACCTTTCATATATTTCGTTTTTGTGATTTTGTATGTTATAAACTTTTGTGCTAAACGAGTATCATTATTGATGATAATACAGTCTCTTACTGCACTGACCATAAGGCAAAGGAGCTTTTTTTAAGTAACTTATAAGAGTGCCTGATAACATAACAGTGCCTGCGCCTCAATGTGCATACTGTCCATCCTAAATTATTGAATATTTCAAAGGTTATATATCATTTAAATCAGAAAGGATAGGCGATTGAGATGCAGGGATAATGATGGTTCACACAAGTCATTCATGACGAAGATTCATTCACAAACAGGACACGGATTAGATCAAATTTAATAGGGAGGGAGGATAATACATTCCATGCACACAAACACATGCACTTTGTCGACAATGCCTGTGCGATCACTTATCCATCAATGTAGAAAAGTGATTTAAAACACCCAAAAAGAAATACTGACCACCATGAAAACTCCCTTTCACAGACAGGCTATATGTATATATGTGTATATCTCTGGCTCTGAATGGCCAGTCCTCCACTGCACCTTGGTCCCACATTTATTTCAAAGGAGCGCTACCCTGTACTAAAATGGAGGCTCTATTGACACATTTCTTTTTCAAAAGCTTTAATGAAACTATTTCACATTTATTTTGATCTTGCCAATATGCTCAACATTTTTGGATTAATGTTGAAGCTTTTATTGCTCATAATATTAAAAAAAAAAAAAAAAAACATTTTCCTAATTGTATAAACATGATTTTGGGTTATTATGTTAAAGATTGCTCTTTAAAAGACCCTGGTTTTATTATAAACTTTTATTTTATTATTATGTAAATTTCACATACACAAATCTAAGTTTCTTTATACTGCTAGAAAAAGAGTTTAAAGATTTCTTAGATTTCTAATGAAGAGTTGAGATGCAAAAACCTCTGAAATTGTCATCTGAAATGTTCTCCTAAAATGTGCATTTTTCCCAGGCTCCTATGTTTATGTTAAGTTATTTCACTTTAAAGGCAATGAAAATAACTTATTCATCATTTTAAAAGTCAAATTTCCGAGCCTACATACAGGAGTATGAGAAAAATACTAATTTTAGAAGAAAATGTCAAGCGGCATTTAGAGGTTTTTGTATCTAAATTCTTTATTTGCTCTTTTAACATTTTTGCATAAAAATATTTGGATATTTTATGTAATAAAAGTGCATTTAAAAGGTTTTGTTAATAATTAAAATTGAAAAATATGTACTATATTTCCGTTTGTGATTTGATATTTATGTACTCTCTCTTTTTCTTTTCTTTTTTCAATTATTATTATTTTTAATTTAATTTCTATCTATCTATCTATCTATCTATCTATCTATCTATCTATCTATCTATCTATCTATCTATCTATCTATCTATCTATCTATCTATCTATCTATCTATCTATCCATCCATCCATCCATCCATCCATCCATCCATCCATCCATCCATCCATCCATCCATCCATCCATCCATCCATCCATCATCTATCTATCTATCTATCTATCTATCTATCTATCTATCTATCTATCTATCTATCTACAGTATCTTTACTTTTTCAATCCCTTTAAAACTAAGCAAACTACTTCCAACAGGCTTTCACAAGCCACTATAAAGTTTGCCTTCAATCTTTAATACCTAGTTAAACGTGTGTTGCTCTAGACAAATGCATACAATGAATGCATTCAAATATGTCATTACATGTCTGTTAATCGACATTTTTTTTGTTGAACTGGCATAAGATACTGACCCAGTCCCAGAGAGCACTTTCCAGCATCCACTCTCATCTTTCCAGCCTGGAGAGAGATGCTCTTCCACGCTTCCCAAAAGCAGAGGTATGTCAACACTGCTAAAACTGCTCTCAGTACCAACAACTGACAGCACAGATCAATAGCAGCTGCAGTGAAGCTCTTCTCCACCTGCCGCTGAGCTGCTGTGTTTTCTCTTTTTCAGAGGTCACTCAGGGAGGTTCAGCAGATCCTCAACACCACCGAGGGAAACTTCCATCAGCTGGTTGCTCTTCTCAACTGTCGAGGCCTGAACAAGGTAAACATGGCAGCCTGGTTTTTACCTCAGCCAAGCAGTTTTCATGTCACAACAAGTGGACTCATGTGTTGTCCTGTCACTCTCTCAGGATTACGTGGACTCTCTGAAAGGCCTGTGCTATGATGGGATGGAGGGGCTGCTCTATCTGTCTCTCTACTCTTTTCTCTCCGCTTTGGCCTTCACTGCTATTCTTTGCTCCCTCCCTGGAGCCTGGAGGAGCTTCCACAGGTTAGCTAAACTTTATTCCTTCACTTTGGCTAATGCCCCATCTGCTGCTGCTTTTAGGAAAATCTGATTGAATTTATGCTGCAAATTCATTTGATGACAGCAGCAAAATAAAGATGCAAGATAAATAGTAGGGCTGTGCTTTATGTAAATGTGAATTTGTGTCTTCCATATGGTTGTACGGTAAATGATTAGTTGTAAAGTTTATATTATTATTGTTTTTGTTACCGATTTCTATTTTATAAAGCTGTGTTAGAAATGAAGAATCATAGAAAAATACATTTACATCTACAGAGGATCTAAAGCACAGGTGTCAAACTCAGATCCAAAAGGGCCGCAGCTCTGCACAGTTTAGTTCCAACCCTAATTAAACACACCTGATAAAACTAATTGAGACCTTCTGGTTTGTTTGAAACCTACAGGTAAGTGTGTTGGAGCAGGGTTGGAACTAAACTGTGCAGGGCTTCGGCCCTCCAGGAATTAAGTTTGACACCCCTGATCTAAATCCTTCTCTTTCGCTTTAAGTTTTTACAAATTGTGACATTATTTGATTAAAAATGTATTATAATTAAAAAATTCAAACTATTTTTTTTATATTTAGTCTAGTTTTCTCTTTAAGCCAAATGCATTTGATCTGAATTTTTTGGGGGGGAAGAAATTGTATAAATGAATATTTAATTCATTTATCAACATATTTTCATGGTTTATATCAACTCCCAAACTCCTTGCAGTTCTCTAAAACCACACAGATAGACAGATGACAGATAGATGGATGGATGGATTAATAGACAGACAAATCTTTGACCCATGTATAAATTATATTGGTCAAAGATTAGTTTAAAAAATCATATTAAATCCATGAAAAGTGTCTTTTGAATAAACAAACATTTAAAATTTGGATTAAATAATGATTCACCGTCATTCATTGACCATACTATTTATTGAACTAATATTCATTCATTAAACTATACTATACTATTCATTGAATATATATAGCAGTGCGATATGGCTGTATATCAGCACTGGTGGGAGGTGTGCCATATTGCACTGTTACGAGTTCGACGGCATGAATAAGAAAATCAAACACGAAAAGTCTAAAAGAGTCTCTGTGGCGATCTTGTGGCGGAATGTCAATAGTTTTTGCTCTGCTCAATGGCAGGGTAATGGCCACGGATGCACTGAATTTCCGAAATTATAAATATTTAAAACAGGCACTATCCCTTATAAATAAACTGCATAGTTGTAATCTAAACAGTTGAAGTCAGATTTATTAGCCCCCCCTTTGATATTTTTTTTCTTTTTTAAATTTTCTAAATGATGTTTAACAGAGCAAGTAAATGTTCACTGAATGTCTGATAATATTTGTTCTTCTAAAGAAATGTCTTATTTGTTTTATTTTGGCTGGAATAAAAGCAATTTTTACTTTTTATGAACTATTTTAAGGTCAAAATTATTAGCCCCTTTAAGCAAATTTTTTTCTGATTGTCTACAAAACAAACCCACGTTATACAAAACTTGCCTAATTACCCTATCCTGCCTAGTTAACCTGGTAAAGCCTTTAAATGTCACTTTAAGCTGTGTAGAAGTGTCTTAAAAATATCTAGTCAAATAATATTTACTGTCATCATGGCAAAGATAAAATAAATCAGTTATTAGAGTTGAGTTATTAAAACTATTATATTTAGAAACGTGTTGAAAAAATCTCTCTGTTAAAAAGAAATTGGGGCTAAAAATTCAGGGGGGCTAATAATTCTGATTTCAACTGTACACTCTCACCTAAAAAGCCACAAAAGTACATTATGTTGTTCCTCTGCTTGTCATGTAGGCGAAGTAATACACAAGAGTGAAGAGGCTGTATGGGTGCTGATATTGCAGAATATCTCAAAGCTATCAGCCAATCGGATTTGGAAACCAAAATACTTATGTGCATACATAAAAATAACACTGACCTGTGTTAAAATTCTTTTTTTAAAAGAACTTTTTTTTAAAGAAAAAGCTTGTTTTAGTTTTAAAACTACATTTAAATGACATTTATTTATTTATTTTTTGTGATTTTTTTTTTATTTGAATATGCCATAAATAATTATAAGTGTATTAAAAATACCCAACAAGATATTTTGATATATTTACTATGGTTACACTGAATGAGATTTTTAGTGGCTGTCTTCTTGTAAATCATAGTAAAAATGTATGATAGATTTAATGTATGAAAAAATACATCTATAGTTACTATGTTTTAACAATTGTTTAAACCCCTTTTTATTTGACCCATGTATTTTTAACACTTCAAGTTTTCAGTTTTATAATAACCCTTCATTTAGTTTACAAAATTATGTTTTTATATACAAAATATAGAACGAATCAATCCGTCAGTATAAATCAAGACGAAGGAATACACGTCATCCTAATAAGATGTCAATTGTTTTCAAGTACGCATGTGTAACATTATCAAAGACATTAATACTCCCACAGAACCGGAAAACATGATCATTTTAATGCAAACCAACTTACATGATCCTCTACATCAGCTGCAGCTGAGTGTTAATGGAGATGAGCTGCTGGTCTGCTCCATTCAGTGTCATATACATGTAAACCCTGACAGCCGCACTCATCAGCAATGCACAGATGATAGAAACATGATCTCAACTTAAGGCCATTACTGCTCAAATGCACTTCACTTCTGTTATCTGGATATGGTATTAATGTCGCCATTACCATTAGTTCACAAAGCTTAGTCACATACTGTTGATTCAGCTCCAGTTGGTATATACCCACCAAGTGCCTGATGTTGGCAAATCCAATTTTATGAAGTCACAGAGGCGGCCTGAAGTGTTTAATTGCGGTAAGACTATGCTTGAACTCCATTTGCACAGGCAGGAAATGGAAGATGCATACATTACTAAAATGGCAAAGAGGAGTGACACAGATTAAAGGATTATATGCTGCTCTGGATAGGGATTATTTCATTTCAAGACAATATCTGTATGTATATAGCCATGAGACACAGCAGGCAAAAGCACAGAATATTTACGCACCTGTCAATTTACAGATTTTGGGCTTTTCATAAAGTCTTTTTAATGTATATGTAAATAAACCAAAAATGTTTATACCCAATGCTAAACTCTTTTTTCCCAAAATTTTAGTACAAATTATTTGATGAATCCTTGAAAACATCTGAAATACATTTGTGCATGTTTAGTGAAAAAGACCCATTGCTTTAGTTCAGTGTTTCTCAACCATGTTCCTGGAGGATTAACAGCACTGCATGTTTTTAATGTCTCCTTTGTCTGTCGCACCTATTACAGGTTTTTCAGCCTCTGCTAATGATCTGGGGCCTCATGCACAAAGACTTGTGTTGAAATCATACTAAAACATTGCGCACAAAGCTGTAAATGTGCTTACGCAGTAAAAAAAATCAGATGTATGAAAAACTGCGTACGCCGAATCCCACGCATATTCTTTTTGTACATCCGAATGAACGTAAAACTGAGCGCACATGCACCAGCACAAAACCCCTCCCTGCCTCCTCCCCCGTATGAAGATGCTAATGACTCTACTTTTGCAAAACCCAACGTAAAAACAATGGCAAAAGCAAGCCAAAAGAGAAACTTTGAACAGAATGTGAATTGGAGGTGCTGCTTTCGGAGGTAGACTGGAGAAAAACGGTGTTACTTGATACTTAATAACAAAAGAAAAAAAATAGAGTGGGAGAGTTTAGCTGATGTGGTTTACACAGTGGGGTCTGAAGATTGCACTGAGTGGATTAAAAAAGAAATAGTGTGTAAAGATGTAAGATTTTGTAATATCTTTAAGAGCGAGAGTGGCGTAGCTCGTAAAATGGATGGCAACATGTTTTGACACGTTCAAGCATGAACTCAGTTCGAATCTAGCGTCTGATGAACTCATTCTTCTTTTTCCCCCCGCTACATACTGTATTAGATTTTACCTACTCTTCATCACGAGTAAGACAAGTAGGAATCATTAATAAGTCTGTGCATCATATTTTATTTGCACATTTATTGAATGGAAATGTATCTGATTCACATATGCATATTCGTCTTCAGATGGCGCCTTTATAGCAATGTGTGTGCAGTCGATCGCTTCGATTACATTGGGCAAACCGGCGACTGCTGCAAATTGCGCTTTAATGTTTGGCTGGTCAACTGCATTGTATGAAAACCTTATTTATATACCTGCTAGACATGCAGATGAACCTGTCTCATCCAGCTGCCATTGCACAGCTCAAAGACACTTTGTAGAGAGCAATTTAACATAACTGCCTCTAGGAGTCGCCAATGGAAATAAAACAGACACACAAGGAATGAACGTACGCCAGGCATAAAGTTGGTGTGGACCAATGCTTATTCTCACGTTAATTTTATCGTTAGTAAATCCAAACTTGAGCGTGAAACCTGGCGTACACAAAGTTTTTGTGCTTACGCAGCGTTGATACATGAGGCCTCTAATGATCTGAATCTGGTGTGTTTGGTTAAGGAGACAGAAAATGTGCAGGGCTGGTGGTCCCCCAGTTACATGGTTGAGAAACACTGCTTTAGCTGAATTATCTATACATTCTCAAGTGAAGAAGCATTTTCTAGAATTATTGCACCGCTTCAGACAAAATAAATAAGAATTAAATGTTTTTTTCTTACAGTCTATGAGGACTAAAGTGCATGACTTTTATTTCAGTATGTCGATGTTCTTCCAACTGATGGAATATTGAGTAGGGGGTGGGGCTTTTTTTATTAAGCATCATTTCCTTATTGCAAACTGAGATCAACAAAAAAAGGACCAACCCTCCAAATATGAAAGCAAATGGTCAGACTTTGACTAAATATTACCAAACCAAACGTTTTTGTCTTCAGTGGATTTACATTAATTGTGCATTGAAAGACTAAGGGTGCTTTCACACCTACACTTTTGTTTCGGAACCTGTCTCGTTTGCTCAGTTAGCTTGGTTCATTTGGCGTATGTGAAACCAGCAATCGTGCTTGGATCCGCGCCAAATCAATCGGTCGGAGGTCGCTTGAATGAGGTGGTCTCGGCTCGATTGAAACGAACTCTGGAGCGGATTGATTGCAGTGAGAAAGCGATACGATCTGAGTGCAGTTATATCACAGTGTTTTATGGATATGCAATAGGCATACGGCTGTATGAAGAGAGAATTATGAGTTGGGCGGGAAGTTTCGAGAGTCTCCCGGATGCTCCCAAACGAGTGATAATCTCCCAGTAATCTTTGTCTCCCTCCCGGTCCTCAAATACGTCACGCACCCTTCTCACCCCTCCCCCACCGCATCTCTCCTCGCTCTTCAGACACGGCGCGCGCACCTTGTCAAACACCACCAAACCACCACCTCCCCTGACAGCTGAGCGGGACTCATAATAAACCCTGACATTCTGATCAATGTGTGGAGAGTTTACTCACACGTGACTTGTTTTAGCTCTTTTGGTCCGATTAGAAACTTTGCCGTGTGAAAGCGAACCGCACCAAGAGCAAAGAGCAAAAATGTAACAATTTTAAACCCTGTTTCAGAACAACTGAATCGATTCACAGGTGTGAAAGCACCCTAACAATCTGTGCTTGCAAAATAAACATTGTACATTTTTTATATCACACCCATTTTTAAAAGAGCTAAACAATCTTGTTTTTTAGGTTATTTTGCTTGCTTTAAAGAAAAACACTGACATTTCATGCAGATTTTTAAATGTATGCATATCTTGGCATTTCCATTATACTCAAAAACGTATTTTTGCTGCTTGTTAAAACTGCTTATTTAAAATGCGCTGAAACAACACAATTCTTGAGTGTTTTTGGGGGTTAGCTAGAATTGTGTGAAACCCAGCATTTCCAACTCAACACAAGGACTGATCGTTCCACCAGATCTATAACAAATGGATGTTTGCCAGTACCGGCTTTTAAAAACTGTTATGGACAGAGATCTTTCTTTTATGTTTTCACAAGAGTCTGGAATGAGATCCCACAACATCTCAAAACAATACCAACACTGAGACTTTTTAAGAAATCCCATGCTCGTCATCTGATGGTCAACTATCGCTGTAGCCACTGAGCTAGTAGCTTGCTTTTCTTTATCTTATATGTTTGGTGATTGTTTGTACTGTGTTGATGGATGAGATGTTTGTCTGTTTTTATGTTCTGCAGAGCAGGAACCTGCTGAAAAACAGCATTCAAGCTGAGTCAGGCCCGATTATCTTTTAATCTTTTCCTGTTTAAAAATGATAAATAAATAAATTAAAAAAATTTTTTACAGTGTGAGCTGCGTGTCCACCAAAGTGTTTTTTGAGCAGCAATGTGAGCGCTGTACTAAAAACATCCGTGAGCTGTGAGGCCTTCTCCAGTTGTCGAAGCATTTTAAAAAACACTCAGCTATGCAGCTGCCTTTTTAACAACGCAATGCTTCCATTGACAACAGAATAAAACGCTCAGCTAGCATTTCTGCAGCACAAAAACACTTTAGTGGGCACATAGCGATAAGAGTGTGCATAGGTGGAGTCATAGTATGTAAATGTGATTGATTTATATCTTTAAACATTTTGGAAGAACATGTCAAACTCATGAGCAAATGTGTTCCGTGTGAAGACACTTGTGGAATTGGTGCTGCTGTCTGCTTAATGTTTGACCAGACTGAATTTACAGACGGACACTCCAGGCCTACACACGTTTATTGTTCAGTGAATAGTCCTACAGAATTTGCAGTTGCAGCTGTTTTCTGTCTGTTCACAGGATTTTTTAAACAGTCATTTTAAATCTGTCTCCAGTGCTCTGATTTTTGTGCTGTAAGTGCATATTTAATTAAATAATCCCCCATTTGCACAGGTAAACATCTTGAGATACAAAAATGTGTTTTAAATGTAATCAATCATCTAGAAGAGATGAGCAGAATTATTATAGTGAGAATTATTATTATTTCTTGCCTTTTTACTCTCTTTATTTGCAGTGTCTGGATATGTTTTGATCTAAAGCATTTGTTTTGTTTCGCCATTCTTTATGTTCTATGATTGTTACCGAATGGCACAGTGATTCAGACGATTATGAAGACTCGGACAGTGAAAGCGAGGACCCCTTCACTTCTCATCAGGCACGTAGACAGACGGCCACGGGTTCCCAGCGAGGGGCTTTGCCCCCCTTCTATAGTTACCAGGGGGCCGCCTGGACTCCCCCCTTTTCTAGCGCACCTCCATTACCGTGAGTAACACATGCACAGACACACAGACAGACAGACAGAATGAGCTTTAAACACATAAACCAACAGCACAGACACACACACACAACACAACACCCACACAGCAGCTCAACAGCACACTTTGTAGGGTATAGGGGGATAGTTCACACAAAAATGTTTATTCTGCCATCCTTTATTTCTCCTTCACTTGATCTAAAACTGCTTGATTCTTTCTTTTGGTGAATACAAAAGAAGATATTTTTAAATATATAAAAAAATAAGAGTAATTTTTTTGTTCCTGGACGTCAGTAATTCCAAGATTCTTGACAATATCTTCTTATACATTCAACAGAAGAAATAACTCCATAAAAGTTTAGTTACTTGAGTGTCAGTAAAGGATTTCATTTTAGGTGAACTATCGCTTTAAGGAATCAAATGTGAATTTTGAATGAATAAATAAATACATTTATATCTTTAAATTTACACACACCTTCATACACATATGTATCGTGTATTATAGCTTAAAACGTAAGCTAAATGTCATTCAAATATTTATTATTATTATTGTATTTTTTATTCCGGTTTATTCTGTTTTTCTTTTGTTGTTTTTGTAATTTAATTATTAGTTGAAATGAGTTTATAACATTTTTAGAAATCTATTTTTAAAGTTGAGTTAAACTTGATTCATATATTTTCCAGTTCTTCATTCATTTTTTTTTCTTTCAGGTTAAAATAATAATACAAATAACATTACATTTAAGCAGTTATTAAGATTAATTTGTTATTTGTTTGTATTTAATTACAAAACTATGTATTAGTTTAGACTCTTTTTCACTAAATAAATTCTCAATAAACTCTATTCCAAACATTTTAAAACAATTAAACCAAAATAATTTTAAATATATTTATGTGTTTTGTAGATTTTCTAATATTTTTTGGTAGAAGAATCTCAGATTCTAGTTTCATGCTTTGCATCTAAGTTGTGTTATAAATGACCATTACACTATGACAATACACATGCACAAACAATACAAGTCTCATGCACAGGCAGAAAAATAAATAAAGTTCTGATCACATACAAACAGGCAGACAGACAGGTGTTAGATAGAACGCACAGACAGACAGACATAAACTCTCTCTCTCTCTCTCTCTCTCTCTCTCTCACACACACACACACACACACACACACAAACACAGACAGACACACAGACAGGTCTATACGTCAAGCACAGTCCAGCCAAATAACAGACATGAGTCCAGAGGTCTGTCTGTCTGTGTGTCTGTCTATTTGTCTGTCCATCATTACAAGACAGACATAGATCCACCAATCAGAGACGATGCACAATATGGGTAAATCCTGCCCTCTGATGTTTCTATCAGAATGGACATCAGTCTTTTCAGTTCTACTGCAGTCAGCCGTGCTGTTTCTCTCTTCTCCCTGCTTCAACATTCCCTGTTTCTTTCTCAATTTCAATTATTCCTTTTTTTAAAAACTGTATATTAGATCTGACATGAGGGTCAAAGACGTACGTAGAAAGCCTATTATAGGTTTCAAATAATTTAAAAATAAAATCTAAATATGAGTAAAATCATGTTCTATTATTGTTTGACACATTGATGTAAATAAAGTAACATATTTATCCTGACCTATCCTTATTTTTATAGATAATGGATTAAATGAATATATTCAGTTTCAATTTATATATGTATATATATGTGTGTGTATATATGTATATATGTATATATGTATATATATATATATATATATATATATATATATATAATTTTTTTTAATGTTCTAAACACTTAAAGTTAAAGCAATGTTAATATCAGTGAAGTTCATTTATAACTAATTTTGAGAGGAGCACATGCTTATGATTGACCACAGCTGATCCCGCATTAGCTAACGCATGATTCACCAATCGAATGATTCCTAACTCATTTTCAATAGACAGTTCCTTACCTTGGTCCTCTTTGGCTTGAAGAATCCTCTTTTCCACCCCTACTTCTCCTTTCTTTTCCTTGATATGGTGGCACGGTGGCCAAGTGTTTACCACTGTTGCCTCGCAGCAAGAACTCCACTGGTCAAGTCTCTAACAGACCAGTAGATGTTCCTGTGCAGAGGGTACATATTCTCCCTGTGCTCGCGTGGGTTTCCACCAGGTTCTCCGGTTTCCTCCCATAGTCCAAAAACTTGCGACATAGGTGAATTGACTAAACCAAATTAGCACCATATACGAGCTTAATCAGCAGTATATCTCTCTGTAGCAATCTCTAATTTGTCATTAACCATAAATAGCAGAGGAGTTCTCAACATCTACCTAAGCTCAAACTCCCCTCTTGCCCTGCGAGCGGGAGAGAGCCCCGGGCTCGAGGATTCTATGAGCTCAGGGCTCTCCCCAGAACAGCATGCCAAACACACTTTATAATCAATCATCAGCTAAGTGTGAACTCTTAAAATAACATTCAAAAACAAAATCTAAATTTGATCCTCAAAATGTAGTTAAGCATGTTAACTTGAGTTATGTTGTGTTTTCTGTACTTGACTGAGAGCAGTTATTCTGAAACAACTAGTCGAAATGGATAGAAGTTAAACTGTTTTTATTTCCGTCTCTTTCAAATTTCTTGAATTAATTAATTTTCCTTCGGCTTAGTCCTTTTATTTATCATTCAATTAATAATCAGTCAAGTAAATATAGGTATAATTTATGTTATGTATAATTTATATAAACTATTTATTTCAGCAGATATCAGTCTTAATGATCAGCTTGAAAATGTAATGTAGTGCATTTCTAATACTGTATGTGAGCTGAAAATGTATGTTGGTCAAATTTTGCCAATAAATAAAATGATAAATCAGGCCTGTAGCCACAGGGAGTTCGAAAGACCCACCCCTCACTGAGAAAGGTCCAAAACTTGTGCCATACATGAGCTCATTTGTCTTATTTTGACTTCTATGCCATCATAAGTACACTCAAAAAATGATGTTTGCTGTTTGTTCAAACTACTTATTTAAAATGAGCCGAAACAACACAATTCTTGAGGTTTTTTTTTTTGGGAGGGACAACTAAATTGATTTATGTTCAATCCACTTAAATTTGTAAAACTAATTACTTAATTCCTTCATGTTGTCCCAACACAAATCGATTATGTGGAACCCAGCATTTTTACAGTGTAGTAAAAATAGCCCATCGAAAAAGGCTTTATGACCAAGCGGAAACCTTTTGTTGGCTGTCGATTTGTTGTGACTTCAGCTAATCAGTTTTGCCCAATGCAAACAAATATTTTTTCATGAGTTCAATATCCAGCTGCTAGAAAACACAATCTGACATAAGTGAACGGTAGACTAAAGTTTTTAATTTAAAACAGATTCCTATTCTTTTTTCTAATGATATATGATGTACTTTGCATTTTAAAAAATACTTATATATATATATATATATATATATATATATATATATATATATATATATATATATATATATATCTTTATTTTAAATGTTGAGAAAATATTTTTTTTTACATAAAAAAATTATGAAGATCATCTGACAGGCTAATTAAGCTAAAAACTGCTTAAAATGTCATTAAAAGCAGCATTTACATCTCTACTTAATTAAATAGAAAATGAAAAGAATAACTGTAAAAGTTAACCCTGAACACCCCCACCCTTTAATCAGGCTGGCTATGAACCTATAAATTCTAATGTTAAGACAAAAAAATAAATAAATAAATAAAAAAATCCAAGAGAACCCGTCTTTGACCCATAAACATCTTTTCTCATTTCAATCACATTTCCATGTGCTTTAAAATAAATGTATGCAAAAATAAATCCATATTCTATACATTTATATATATATTTAGCATATTTGTATAGAATTCACTTCTTTATCAAAACAATCTTCTCTTAGAAAAAGTGAAAAATGTCGCCTCTCTCTAACTCTCTTCCAACTTTTCTCTTCCTGTCTCCACCCCGGCTCCTGGCTCTGGTTCTTCCCTGCACGTCACTCTTTATTGTCCGTTTCCTCTCGTCTCCATTGTCCCCTTGACCTGGTTCCTCTCTGCTCCTCTCTCTTTCTTTATGCAGGACTCCAAACGTTTCCTCCAATGGCAACCCTGGTTATGAGAACCTGCCTTTGAGTGACAGACAGTCCCCACCCCCCTCTGTGAGTCCCCTTGTCTTTGTCGCATCACTACGATCTTTGGCCTTCTCAGAAAAATCAACAAGCAAAGATTCAAACAGACCCAAAGACAGAGCAGACCTAACGACTATTCACTAAGCTCCACCTTAAAAAGTTACTGACCAATCGCTATCTGCCTGAATTTCACAATTCCGAGCCTACGTTTGCAGTTCAATGTTTACATCTTACTGTTTTGACTTTAAATCTTTGTATCTTGTAGTGCTGAGTTTACATCTCAAAGTTTAACATTTACATCATGACGTTTAAATCTTTACTTATAGCAGTTACGGGTTTATTTTTCACGACTCCGGAATTACATCTTACAGTTCAATGTTTACGTCTGACAGTTCCCAGTGTACATCCTGCAGTTCCCAGTTTAAAACTTTATGTCTCACAGACTGGAGTTTTAAATTTTAACAGTTCCACGTTTCCATCTTGCAGATCCAAGTTTACAACTCATAATTTGGAGTTTACGCCTCTACATTTTACACATTCATCTCACATTTCCATATTTATGTCTCATAGTTCTGAATTTCAGTCTCACAGTTTCTACTTTACGTCTCATGGGGGCGTTTACACCAGAAGTAAATTGCGATAGTCAAGTCGTGTAATTAAATGCTTGAGCATTTTGAGTTTATTCGCTTTATTTGTGCGTGCAGTTCATTTAATTTGCGTGTGAAATTCATGTCATGCAAAATCACTCAATTTTCATTGCAAAATGGATGACATGGTTATGGAAGGCTGAAAAACAGCATGGACTTGTTTGGCACCATTTCTGGCACCATCGGATCCTTCAGAGGTGCACCCAGCCAAAGACCATAGAATACACAAGACAAGAATGGGGAATATGGCGAATGAAGACCCCCGCCTACTAGTACAGGAGCCATATATCAATTGCTATAGACTGACGTTTCTCTGGGGGAAAAGCTTAGACCAGACGTGTGTGTTTAGGACTGGAATCTCAGCATATACTTGTTACACAGACATAAGAAATATATCCCAAAAGCTTAAAATCTGTACTTTTTTGCTTTGTAATCTGTATGAAACAAATGTGAGGTACAGTTCACCCTGTCAAGCGCACATCACATGACAGCAACTACTCAAAAGCCCACAATCTTGTAAACAAAGAGTCGCTGTCATTTCTGGAAGAGATTCGCCATCAAGACCAAGTTGTGAATTACTTCAGAAGAGCAGCGTGATCTGACGACACATTAAGCCTTATTTACATCACGAGCAACTCGCATCGGCAAAAGCAACAATTGACTGTTCATTTAAACGGATAGTGAGCGACTTCCAGAGACCTCCGTCTACATGAGCGACAGCGACCGTTAGTGACCAGGTGGGGCGTGTCTAGCAACGCAAAGAAGTAGAGAATCATTCAACTTTATACTAATGAAGAGTGACTTCCTTGAGCGACAGCCAATAGGAGGACCAGTAGAGCTCACGTGAATCTCTCTTAGCTCACTCAGAGGCCGGTTGTATTCTCTGTGCTGTAGAACTACACAGGCCTGCGTTTCCAGCAGGTCGCCACCGTGATTTCGTTCCTTCCGAGTGCGCATGCGCATTAGCTCAGGCAACCTGAAAATATGCCAATTTTGTTTAATTCAAACGTTTAAAAAAAAAATTTTATGAGACAGTTGTTGTTTAAGTTTATTGGTAAATCCAAAAATGTAAGCTTGGCAAACAGTTTTGGAGAATTTGAAGTTTCCTCATTCAGACAGAATACCTGAGCATACTAGAGCAAGCTCCTGATTGGTTAACATAGCTCGAATGTCCAGCAAAGTTCAGATTTTTTTAAACTTGAGCGATTTGTGCAAATCACACGTTAAGCACGCCAAACTCCTGAAATGCTCAGTTCGCACCATGTCATTCACTCGATTCGCATCATTCACGCGAATAGCTGCATGATATCTAATTACGCCTTTGCATTGACTTAACATGTGAATCACTTGTGCTTAATTGCTTCATATCTGGTGTAATCGCACCATCACAGTTCTTACATCTCAACGTTTGGAGTTTACAGCTTTGCTTGTCACACTTTCATCTCGCATTTACAAATTTAAGCTTTTATTACGACTCGCACTTCTGAATTTACGTCTCACAGTTCTGAACTGATGTCTTGCAGTTCTATACTTTACTTTTACAGTTCTGAGTGTACATCTTGAAGTTTAACATTCACGTCATGCATTTTTAGGTATAAATCTTTACATCTTGCAGTTTTGAGTTTACATCCAACTCTAACGAATTGGCGTTTTGCAGTTTGACGTTTACATCTCGCAGTTCACAGTTTAAATCTTCACTCAAATCTTTGGCAGTTTGGAGTTCCAAGTTTATCTCATAGGTTTGATTTTACGCCTGTACATCTCACAATTTCATCTCACATTTCATCTCAAATTTCACAGTTCTGAGTTTAATTCTTGCAGTTCAGATATGAACTCTCCCAGTTTTGAGTTTACATATCAAGCTGCGGTCACACTGCATTTTTCTCCCCATAGACTTCCATTCATACACACGCGAATGCGTCAGACCAGAAATTAAAGTTTGTGCGTCAAGTTTTGCAGTTGGCTTAGTGAACTCTGACCTGCGAAATCGCATCACTTAACCGCGTGAAACCAATCAAGGATCAAAACATGACCTCTCTGGACAGGAATTTAAAACATGGAGCAATCACTCGCTTTGTTATATGTCTAATCATATTGTTTAATTCCGCCCCTTTTTGCAGTGCCATACGACAGAATTTCTCAATCGCAAACTCTAGTTTGACCTTGGCTTCACAGTTCAGTGTATTTTTTACTAAAATACTTCAAATAAATATATGTAAATAAAAATAAATGACTTTGCTATCTGAAACATGAACAACAGTATCTAAGGGTGGAGCTTAGCGAAGGATTTAAAAGTAATTCTGTAAAAACTGTATGTTTTTATATATACACACATGCATACATACACAGGTATAGATTTTTAAAAAATAATAATATTACTCTCTTTTCTCTTTCCCTTCTCTGCTCTCCTGAACTGCGGATCTGCCCGGTGGTTTCACAGTACTCTCCCAGCATGCTGACTGGCTACGGCGGCAGTCAATCACACTCCAACCCCTCCCATTCAAGAAACTTGTACTCGCACTAATTATTTTTCTGTATAATAGAAAAGAAAGCTATATAGCCAGGTTTAGTTTTCATATGGATGGACACTTTATGAGACGGGAGACTAATTTAAAACATTACGTGTTAAATATCCGTGCGTAGCGTCAGTACCATTGAGTCATTTGGGTGTAACAGACTTACGAAAACCCCGTCACTTCCTCTCCCTCTAGTGTCAATCTGTACATAGCTGGTGGAAACAAGATGGTATTGACGTTACAGTAGTGCTCTATTTTTAAACGTATAACCACTTTATTTTGGAGTTTTGATATTGTTATATGTAGTCACAGAAACATAGTGGCGATGGCACAATTTCTTTGTATGATTATACAGTTTTCTCTTCACCTTTCTTTTTTAAATATTTGACAGAACCCTATTTTATAAGTGGCGATGCTGTACTACCTTGTATACCCTCTGGTATGATTATTTATATAAAAAATATACGAATAATGTTTATATATATATATATATATATATATATATATATATATATATATATATATATATATATATATATATATATATATACATATATACAGTTGAAACCAGAAGTTTACATACACTCTAAAAAAAGGAACATAACCATTTTTAAAATGTCTGATGGTAAATACTAAACGTTTAATATTTTAGGTCTGTTAGGATTACTTAAATAATTTACATTTACCAAATGCCAGAATAATGAGAGAATTTTATTTTTTACATTTTTTTATTAATTTCTAGAGAGTCAAACATTTACATACATTTCCTTGGTATTTTTATAGCTTTTCTTTTAAACTGTATAACTTTGCTCAAATATTTTGGGTATCCTTCCACAAGCTTCTCACAATAGTTTGAAGGATTTTTTGCCCATTCCTCCTGACAGAATTGGTGTAACTGAGTCAGATTTGTAGGCTGTCTTGCTCGCACAAGCTTTTTTTAACTCTGCCCACAAATTTTCTATAGGATTGAAATCAGGGCTTTGTGATGGCCACTCCAAAACATTCACTTTGTTGTCCTTAAAGCACATTTGAACTAATTTGGCAGTATGCTTAGGGTCATGGTCTGTTGAAAGAGCATTTGTGGCCAAGTTTTAATTCTTGACATGTTGCATCAGCATGTCTACATAATGTTCTTTCTTCATGATGCCATCTGTCCTGTGAAGTAGACCAGTCCCTCCTGCAGCAAAAAGCCCCACAACATGATGCTGCCGCCCCCATACTTCACAGTTGTGATGGTGTTCCTAGGCTTGTAAGCTATCCCTTTGTAATCCAAATGTAACACCGGTCATTATGGCCAAACAGTTCAATCTCATTTCCATCAGACCACAGGTCATGTCTGCAAAAATTATTCTTTTTTCCCAGTGTAATTTTGCAAATTGTAATGTGACTTTTTTGTTGATTCTGGCTTGTTGATTTTTCCATGTTGTCACACAAGGAAGCAGTGTGTTTGAGGTTTTCCTTAAATATTATTCTACAGTTGTGCCTCCAATTAACTAATTTAATGTTGTCAATTAGCCAATCAGAAACTTCCAAAACCTTAACACCATCATCTGAGCTTTTCAGAGGCATTATAGTTGTAACAATTTTACAAAAAATATCTCATTATTCTGCTATTAAGCATAACAGAAACAAATGTGATAATTCAAACTTGCCTAAAAGAGAAAAAGTTTAGTCACATGAACATCTGACTTTAATAGTGTGTGTAAACTTCTGGGTTCAAATATATATATATATATATATATATATATATATATATATATATATATATATATATATATATATATTTATATATATATATATATATATATATAAATATATATTCACTGTATAAATGTTGATTGTTAATGCATTTTGATGATCAATTGAAAAAAACAAAAGATTGTTGAGGGCTAGTGTGTGTTTCCTCTGCTGGCTCTGAGCAATACAATTGCGTTTCGCCAATTGCAATGCAATGGCTACAATGTAAGCAGCAATAATCATCAGGACATCCTGCGAACACCATCTCTGTGTGTGTGTATCAGACGTCTTCTTGACATGTTCAGTATATATATCGTATATACATTTGGAATTGCATTGGTCCCTTCTCTTGGCTCTCGGCCTGTTGTTAATCCTTGAAAAATGAGTTTCTATGGTTTAATGCTCCTTTTGAATGGCATCCTTTTTCACTACAGAGTCTAATATAAATGAAATAAAAAATACAGTAACAAACATAGGAGGTCTGAATATTTTTGTGTGTGTGTGTGCGTGTGTTTTATACGTTTATACCTGTTCATGCAAAGTGCTACAAGCATCTTGAAATTTAAACATAATAGGTTATATCTATGTTACAGCAGAAATGAGCTTTTTTATAAGTTAAAATATTTTACGAATAGATTATTTTTAGTATTTGTTATATAAAGTTATTTAAGTTATTAAGTCTATTGCCTTTCCCAGAGATGGACATCCGCTGCGTAAAAACTTGCTGGATAAGTTGGTGGTTCATTCCGCTGTGGCGACCTCGGATTAATAAAGGGACTAAGCCGACATGAAAATGAATGAATAAATGAAGTCTATTGCCTTAAATGTAAAACTCATGCTATTTGACTCTTCCAAACGTTTAAAGCAAACCATTTTTGTATAATACAGTCATTTAGAATTTTAATTTAGAATTTTACAAATTCTATTTTTGTTCGCCTAGTCTCTATTTCAGAGACACCACAGCGGAGTGAAACGCCAACTATTCCAGTGGATGCCCTTCTAGCCGCAACACACACACACACGCACGCACGCACGCGACACACACACACACACACACACACACACACACACACACACTCATCCACTACTGACAATTTAGTTTGTTCAATTCACCTACAGTTGAAGAATTGTTAGACCCCCTGAATTATAAGACCGCTTGTTTATTTTTTCCCCAATTTCTGTTTGACGGAGAGCTGTTTGTTTTCAACACATTTCTAACTTAAAAGTTTTAATAACTCATTTCTAATAACTGATTTATTTTATCTTTGCCATGATGACAGTAAATAATAATTGACTAGATATTTTTCAAGACACTTTTATACAGCTTAAAGTGACATTTAAATGCTTAACTAGGTTAACTAGGCAGGTTAGGGTAATTATACAAGTTATTGCCTAAAGATGGTTTGTTCTGAAGACTATTGAGAAGAAAAATAGCTTAAAGGGGCTAATTTTTTTCCCTAAAATGGTATTTTAAAAAAATCAAAACTGCTTTTATTTGAGCCTAAATAAAACAAATAAGACTTTCTCCAGAAAAAAAAAATACATTATCAGACATACTGTGAAAATTTTCTTGCTCTGTTAAACATCAATTGAAAAATATTTTAACAAGAAGAAAAAATTGAAAGGGGGCTAATAATTCTGACTTCAACTGTATATGGCACGTCTTTATATTGATGAAACCGAAGGGAAACCCTTGTGAACATGGGGAGAACATGCCAACTCCATACAGAAATGCCAACTGGCCCAGCCCTGACTCAAACCAGCGACCTTCTTGCTTTGAGGCGACAGTGCTAACCACTGAGCCGCCATAACGCCTTTACAAATGTCTAGAGAGAAATGAAATCGGAAAAAATCTAATTTAAAACAGATAAATCGCATATATATTCATACACTTCAACCATTATTACTTACTGTCTGGTGTTTTACATTAAGGGGCAATTATTTGCCCCATGTCATATTCTTTAACATTATTTATTACATTAAGAAAATATTAATATTACATTAAATATAAATGAACCTTTATAAATTATACAAAAATGAGTCAACATTAAATACAAAAGCAACAGAGTAGATATAATAACATAAACACACCACCAAAATACAATTTGGAGATTTATCCAACATTCTTATTGTTACCTAAAAGCATTACTAATCTATTACAAATTATGCAAAGAACAAAAAGCCATCCAATAACATACTACAGTTGATAAAATAAATAATATATTTGATTATTTTTGGCACATTTTTTAAAGCTGTCATTAAATTCAGACTTTGTTCAATAAAATATTAAACATTATTTACAGTTAAAGTCAGAAATATTAGCCCCCCTTTGAAATTTGTTTTCTTTTTTCAAATATTTCCCAAATGATGTTTAATTTTAGGAAACTCCAGAGGAACTCTAATTTGTTTTATTTTGGCTAAAATAAAAGCAGTTTTAATTTTTTTAAACACCATTCTAAGTTCAATATTATTAGCCCTTTTAAGCTATTTATTTTTTCAATAGTCTACAGAATATGTAGACTATATACAAATATGATTTACTGTCATCATGGTAAAGATCAAATAAATCAGCTATTAGAAATGAGTTATTAAAACTATTATGTTTAGAAATGTGCTGAAATAATCTCTCCATTAAACAGAAATTGGGGAAAAATAAACAGGGGGGCTAATAATTATGACTTCAAATGTATATCTTAGTCTAAATCTAAATCAGAGATGCCCAAACTAGTGCCTGCGGGCCAAAGTTGGCCCATGGTAACCTTTGATTTGGCCCACCATCCCATCTGACAAGAGAGGGAGAATGATGGGCACGGTTTAGAGATTGTAATTTCTAATTAAATGTAACTTTTTGCTATTTTGTTTGTTTTATTGCTAAGCCCAAAAAAGCTAATGGAAATTAAATGTTTCAAATGGAGACAAAAGCTGATTCTGCTTGACTTGACCAGTGTACTCAGCATTGAACACCGCTGTGCTATAAAAACATAATTGTATTCATTCATTCATTTTCATTTTGGCTTAGTCCCTTTAATAATCTGGGTCGCCACAGCGGAACGAACCGCCAACTTATCCAGCATATGTTTTACGCAGAGGATGCCCTTCCAGCTGCAACCCATTTCTGGGAAACATCCATACATACTCATTCACATACATACACTATGGAAATTCTAGCTTATTCAATTCTCCTGTACCGCATGTCTTCAGACTGTGGGGGAGCACCCGGAGGAAACCCACGCCAACATGGGGAGAACATGCAAACTCCGCAGAGATGCCAACTGACCCAGCTGAGGCTCGAACCAGCGATCTTCTTTCTGTGAGGCGATCATGCTACCCACTGCACCCCCGTGACACCCGGGATTGCAATTTTAATTTTAAAAATTAGACTGAATTAGTTAATATGATTTAAAGTAATATTTTGTATTAATAAATTAGCTATAGAATTTTATAGTATGGTATATTTACCTTTGGCCCACGGCTTGCAATGATATTTGGTTTTTGTTCCTTCTTAAGAAAAAAGGTTGAGAACCCCTGGTCTAAATCAACAACAAAACCAAATAAAAAGACACACATACATTGCATTATCCAGCAGTGTGGCTATTATTGCCTATACTATGACTTAAATTATTCAAAACCTGACTTAAAATAAATGTCAAACATATCAAAGATTAAAAAAAACAAACACTCAAACGTAATATAACAAAAAGCAAATATAACTAAGTTTGAATGATTTATTTTATATTAAAAATAAGTCAAACTATAAATAAATAGTCGTTTTAAACAAATAATGCTTAAATGAACAGTGTAATGTCTCTCCTGATAATTTCAGCTAAACGGCTAAAAGTTTATAAAAAAGTGAATCCAGTTTGTATCCATGTCATTTTTATTTCTAGTTTTTATAAAATTGCTATCAATTTTTGTATCTATCGTTATGTGAATTTTTACTGATACTTTATGTGTAATATTTGGTAATAATTTTTTATTTTCTTATTTAAAGGTTGCCGTTTTAAAATCTGTCAGGGGCCTCAGATGAAAATTAGCCCTTGTGGTTTATTCACAGTTTTGTTTTTCACTAATGATTAATAAGCATTGTCTCTGTTTAATAAATAAATAAAATAGAAGAACAAGTTCACCAAAACGCAAACATCTGTCACTACAGCCTGAAGGAGAGATAAACTCATGAATATAAACAATTATGATCATCCAGTCATTCATTTTCCTTTGGCTCAGTCTCTTTATTCCACAGCGGAATGAACTGCCAACTTATACAGCATATGTTTTACCAAAGACTAGAGTACACAAGACATGTCACTCGTATTGTTTTGAATGGGGAAATGTGTAACAGTCAATTTGGCGAATAAAGCCCGCATTCTAGTACTATATGGCAAATAAAGCCCGCCTTCTAGTACAGAAGCCAATTGTTGATCACTATATGGCAAATAAAGCCCGCCTTCTAATAGAGAAGCCAATCGTACATCACTATATGGCGAATAAAGCCCGCCTTCTAGTACAGAAGCCAATTGTTGATCACTATATGGCAAATAAAGCCCGCCTTCTAATAGAGAAGCCAATCGTAGATCACTATATGGCGAATAAAGCCCGCCTTCTAGTAAAGAAGCCAATCATCGTTGACTATATGGCGAATAAAGCCTACCTTCTAGTAGAAGAAGCCAATCGTCTATCACTATATGGCAAATAAAACCTGCCTTCTAATAGAGAAGCCAATCGTCGTTGACTATATGGCGACTAAAGCCCTCCTTCTAGTAGAGAAGCCAATTGTTGATCATTATATGGCGACTAAAGCCTGCCTTCAATCGTGGATCATTATATGACGACTAAAGTCCTCCTTCTAGTAGAAAAGCCAATCGTTGAACAATATATGGGGAATAAAGCCCGCCTTCTAGTAGAGAAGCCAATCGTCAATCATTATATGGCCACTAAAGCCCTCCTTCAAGTAAAGAAGCCAATTGTCGATCACTTTACGGCAAAAAAAGCCCGCCTTAAAGTACAGGAGCCAATCATCGATCCCTATAGACTGACGATACTTCAGAGAAGGGGCTCGGACTAGATGTGAGTTTCTGCAGGTTTTGTATGATTTGAACGTTTAATAATGAAACTAAAGAGACAGATGTAGTTTAATTGTATTGGTGATTCCAAATATGAAATTCAATCGTACGCTTGGCAAGCGGTTTTGGAGAATTTGATGTCTCCCCATTCAGACAGAATGCCTGAGCATACTGCCGAGAGGCATTTTAAAGATGGCAAAACTCCACACAGAAATGTCAACTGACCCAACTGGGACTCGAACCAGCGACATTCTTGCTGTGAGGTGACAGTGCTAACCACGGAGCCACTGGGTTACCCCTACAATTATATCTGGAAAAAAAGAATAACAATACAAAAAAGAATAAACAAAATAAACAAACAAACAAAATGAATCCCACATGTACTGTATTCATATTCATTTTATTAATTTTGTCCACTTATAGTGTCATATTTACCCCATCGGGCTTAAATTCCCCCTCCGCCCTTCCCTCAACAAAATCCAACTGACGCAGTCAACGTCTTGATTAAATACCATTTATATAATAACAAAACCCAGCTCTGACACCAAAACCGAAATTAACAATCGACAAACATTAGTAATCAGTGAGGACGATTTCCAACATTCGCTACACTACAGAGTAGAAATTCAAATAAATAACAGGAATCTTCTCATTTGTTCGCTCGACGTCGATGAGGCGGTTTGCAAAAGAAAAGGACGCGAGCGAGAGACAGAGCTTCCGTCTCTTGCCTCTTGTGTTTCTGCATAGTAAAAGATCTGCACACGGACGTCTAAAAAGGCAATGAACGAGACTCTAAAGTACCATTTCTGTGCATAGTTGTAACAAAAGACAGACGAATCTTTGATCTACTTCAGCAGTGGAGTGCATAGATAGAGATAAAGTGAGAGATGGAGTTCCTGAGAGGAGAGAAAGAGAAAAAAAGAGGAGAGCGACGTCAATCCTTCGTTTTGAGAAAACACTAGGACTTCCCTTTGCATGTGTGTGTGTGGTTGTGGATGTGATCTTGCTGCGCCTCCAGGGTTTCTCTTTCAGTATTTAATCCACACTGACAGAGAAAGAGAGAGAGAGAATGTTCAGTTACATCACTTCCTGGTGTCGTCAGGCTTCAGCCATGTTCCATCTTCGTCCACTTCCTTTTGGACGACGAGGAGCATCTCTGCTACATCCTGAGAGAGTTGTTCAGTAAGAAATGACCTGAAATTGAGGAGGAAAAGTTGTTTTTTATTATCATTTGATAATACATACACCAAAAAATGAAATTAAAGAGGACCTATTGTGCAAAAATGGCTTTTATAAGCAGTTGTGTTGTGACGGAAGGTGAATATAGCCAGCCGCTAATAGTAAAATTTTATTAAATAAATAATCGTACATTATGAAAACAGTCTGCGGAAACAGTTTGATTGACATTCTACCATTGTACATGTCATCAGAGGGAGAAAGCCCCGCCCATTAGTGACGATCTTTCCCCCATAGAGTGGAGGAAGTATGATGCCAATTTATTTATAAAAACCCGAAAGCAAGTTAGCATTATAGGAGTCCCGGTTTTCTTCGGTTTTTTGAATGGGATTTCAATTAAATCGCTTAAATACCGTTCATGGCTACCACCTATTCACGTTTTATTCTACGACATAAAACACATCAGTTACATGTCACTCTTGAGTTTTATTTTATTTTTATCGGTTACGCTTCTTTAAAAAGACAGTAGCTATCAAGTTGCTAAATGGGACTACAGGCGGTGTCGGAGACATTATACATCATCGAGCTGAACTGGAGTGTGTTTACGAAAACCATTGTTAGCTAACCAAGGTCGCAAGTTCCGCTGTTTATAAACTTAGTTTGTTGATTTGGCATTTCCCAAATCCGTCGTTCCAACGAACATTCACAAACTGCATCGCAAACTTGTACGCTTGCAACTACACCTCTAGAGCTGTGGTTTGATGCATAATTCCTGGCTGTGTTCTATTCCTTGTTACCTCTTATGCTAGAGCTGCACGATTAATCAAAAAAAGATCGTGACGTTGATTCGACCCTCTCGACAATCTTAATCCAGCATTTCTACGATTCTGACAATCATATTTTTTTTTACGTTAAGTAGAGATGCAAAGACTGCCATACAAATCTTCCTGTTCTTTTACATACAATGCTCAGCAACGTGAACATCTCCAAACAGTGTAAAAAGTGTCACATACTGTATTAATAAGGTATAATTCACCCAAAAATGCCATTTCTGTCTTCATGTATTAATGTATTCGCAGCTGCGAAATCGCCAGTGACGTGAGCGGTTACCTCAGAGTGGGCGGGCGCTCGCCTGTGAATAAGTGAACAGAACCTGCATAGGCTGTGAATAACAGGTAATTGAGCTGTAAATAACATTCAGTTTGTTTAACAGAGCGATTGTTTGGGAGTCGCACAAGAAATATGAACCGCACTTAACAGTGAAAATAAAACCGAAAGCGTGCACATCATTTAAATAATCATATCGCATTTTAGATCGCATTAACTGTCATTTTAACGTGATCAAGTGATTTTTCATGTTTTTTCTTCATCTGAACACATTTAACTCTTTCATAACTGCAATATTTACACTCCTCCTTAAAATGTATAGCAGATGTGACTGTATGTGCTGCTTTTCGCTGTACTTCGTGACAAAAAAAAAAAAAAGAATATTTAATGTTGTTCTTTGTCTATGATGGAACTTGTAGGCATTTGACAGACTTGTCCCCTTACACCTCATTTTTGTTGTCTTTTACTGAGGCATGCATGCGAGGGATACACTTATTTATTTGTTGATAATATATAGTGTGGATTATGATGAAATAAAGTGAAAGGGTAAATCTTTGTCATAGACCATATTTCTGAAAAAAAGCTTGAAAAGTTCTCTGCCGCAGGGTGGTGCTGATGTCACAGGCGAGCCCCAACTAATAAAAGTTGTATTTTCATGTGAGGATTATCTGGCTGGACAAAAAGTAATGAACAATAGCCCCTTTCACACATTCAGACCTTTCCGGAAAATTGCCGGCAATTTTCCGGAAAGGCTGTATGTGTGAACAGGTCCTTTTTGAAAATACCGGTAAATTCGTTCTGGCTATTTTCCGGAAAGAGAAGTTGTAACATTACCGGCAATTTGCCGGAATGCTGCGCTGTGTGAATGCAAAAGGAAGATTACCGTAATAAGCGCGTGCACGTCTAGAACGTGCTGACGTGAGACGTCTGCTTTAGCCAATCACAACAGTCAGACGCGTTTACGTCCGCGCGGTTCATGAGAATAAAAGCCTTTGAATATTTTTCCAGACACATTTAGCTGCTAAAAGTTAGTCAGATCACGTTTATATGTTCTTCTTAATGCCAACTGTGTAAATAATCATCGATGAGATGCTTATGATAAGCCGTTGTTTGTTTACCTTCAAGCTTTGCGTGTGCCTGTGAAAACAGCCTGTGCCTTATGAACATCTCGACATGAGAAAGTGATCCTGCGAAAGTTGTTCACAATATTGATCATCCACAGAGTTTGTAATTTAGTCAAATGTTTACAAATACAAGCGCAGCCGTTTAAAGCTCATTTGTGGTGAATGATGTCAGAATTTACCGGTATTTTGGAATGGATGTGTGAATGCTCTTTTCCGGAAAATTTCCGTAACGTCCTCGCCTGTGTGAACAGCGCTTTTTTGAATATACCAGTAAAGTCGTTCCGGAAATTTTCCAGATATTTACCGGTATCACTGTGTGAAAGGGGCTATTGTTTGAACACAGAGCTTATTATTTGCAATCTTCGAAAAGCCAATGGAAAAATCCTATGGGGATTTTATCAAGGGAACCAGGTTTATGCTAGCAGCCGATTTACAAGGTGACGTCATAGTTCCTACACTCTATTGGCATTCGATGTGTTTGAATCTGCCACTATGCTGACACAGGCATCTGTAGCTCCGCCCTCTTTTGAAAAAGAGCAAAATCTCATTTGAATTTAAAGTGACAGTTACCCAATGTCACAATTAGGATCAAAGCCTAAAAGGGGCAGTTTCAAAGAGTAATATAACATTATTTGTGTGGTATTTTTTACACTTTACAAACACACACTGGGGACATCAGTGACTTATTTTACATCTTGTAAAAAGGGCATAACCTCTTTAAATGATAAAATATACTCATATTACAAAAAATTCCAACATATACTATGTTCAAATTAATTTTATCCACTTACAGATTCAAATTTACCCTGTTGTGTTTAACTTCATCCCTAGCTTCAAAACAAGATAAATTGTGGGTCGGATTTACACACAGTTTTTTTACGTGCTTTTTGTCCTGTCGGTATTTACCAAACATGCGCAATGAAGAATAGTGTGAAAAAGAAATGGACACAGCTTTTTATGCACATATTGACCTTCCTGAACATGCATTTACATGAGTTTCCTGGTCAGATTTTATGGCAGGAGAGTATTTAAATGAAAAGTTTTTGCTCCTTAAACCACATTAGTTGTGTCATTATTTATTGCCTATAAAAATTGTCTTTTACCATTGCTTGTGAAAGGTTTTTGACAATGTCTTGTGGTCACTTAAGGGTGATTTTATAATTGCAGGTAGGCTTTGTGTGCAAAGTCATCTTTTTTTTTTTTTATAAAGAATTGTTAGATTTTACATTATTTATAAAATGTGTTATTTATTTTCATAGATCACAAGATGTCAATTACCTCTCGTTGATAAGATGATAAGCACTGAAAGGTGTGTGTGTAGACTCAGAGAAAATATTTAATTAAAAAAGACCTTACAAGTAGAGTTATTTTGTAAACTGCCAAAACTGTTAACACAGTTTCAAAATGACACAGATCCCACATTAATCAAATTTTATTTTTTTTTATCCTGGTTTAGTTAGTGCCATGTGCCCAAAGTATTTATGCAAGCTAGTAGACTTTTGGGCTAAAGAATTACAGTTTTGTGTACAGTGTATAAGTGTTTTTTGCTGTAAGTTCTGTTACTGTTACCCATTTAAGGTAACAGTGTTGACATTATGTAACAGATGTGCGTGTATCCACAAGTGAAATGTCATCATGGTTTGAAGTGTTGAAATGTAAGAAACAGAAAGCAATTTTCTTTAAACAAGGTTTTAACTCATTTCATTCTTCATTGTTACTTCTACACATTACCTAATTTGTCTATAACAGAGCACACAAACAATACTATACAGAAATAATTTGTTCCCTAAAAGCAAAAAAAAAAAGTAATTATAACAATCTCTGTTTGGCTAAGCACTGACTTATTCAAAACCATGTAAATCCTTAATAGGATATCCTTTCAGTGAGATTCTGGAGGGAATTGCAGTTAATAAAAAGTGCTTTCCCCTAAATATTTGAAATGCCAAATGTACCTGCAATTGTAGAATCATAGTCAATAGTCTATTTTGTGAATATGCTTATTCTTTGACTAATAAATAAATATATAGCCCTAAATAAAATATAACTATACTTTTTCAATGTGTACAATAGCTGCTTTTATTAAATAACTATACCTTTAATAAAGTAGTAGGCTAACTGACATCATGAATAATGGTTATTTTCTTAGCACACCCACGTACAGTTGCAGTCAGAATTATTAGCCCCCCTGAATTATTAGCCGCCCTGTTTATTTTTTCCCCAATTTCTGTTTAACGAGAGATATTTTTTCAACACATTTCTAAACATAATAGTTTTAATAACTCATTTCTATTAGCTGATTTATTTTATCTTTGCCATGATGACAGTAAATAATATTTGACTAGATACTTTCAGACACTTCTATACAGCTTAAAGTAACATTTAAAGGCTTAACTAGGGTAATTAGGTTAACTATGCAAGTTAGGGTAATTATGCAATTTATTGTGTAACGATGGTTTGTTCTGTAGACCAGGGGTTCCCAAACTTTTTAGCCCGCGACCCCCATGATAAATGCTTTGCTGCCCCACGACCCCCCATCCCCTCCCCTTTAAGGATTAGGGGTGAGGAGTGTGTGCATATTACATGCCATAAAGTGCATATCATATGCACGCAAAAACTCATTTTGGCGTATACGCACTTTCATGAGATCGGGCTCATACAATAAATGCTAAACACAAATGTAATCTGTAAGACGATTTTAATAATTCAGCAACTTGAGAAAATAAATCAAGATCACTGTTTAAAACAGACTTATCTAAAACGTTTAATTCTACAAACACACATTAATATCTTGCCTTTATTCTAAAACAGAACTGACCTATAACTTCGGTCAAACAGAAGATTATTTGCATTTTTTCATTTATGAAGAGGACAGTAATTCAGAGAACATTGTGTCACCCAGTTACATTTCATTTGTTCAACTGTTTTAAAAGACTAAATCAGAACTACTTTAATTAAACTATGACCGAATTTACCATAACAATATTTACAGAAAAGACAGAATATTTTCTTTAGCCATAAGACTCTGATGTTTTGACCTCAGTTCATGTGTTTAGTTACTTTTGCGCGCACACACACATGCGGGGTCCTTAAGGACAGGTTTGGGAACCACTTTAATGTGATGGGTGCGCGCTGTGAGCTGAGCAAAGCAGATCCAGTCTGGGTTTAGTTTTGGAGATGGCAACACGGAGATCATCTTCCACATTAAGACGCAATCTATGTTTATTTTTTTATGTAAGTTAGTGCGGAGAAAGTCTTCTCGCATAAATTAGTTGATTTAAATGGCATCAGTGTATCCAAAGCGGCTTTGGAAAGCTGCGGGTACTCATCCTTCACCGAAATCCAGAACTCGTCCAGCGTTTTTGAGTCAAAAAGTGTCCTCAAGGTTCGATCAGATAAAAGTTCAATCAACGCGTCCTCCGTGTCACACGTCAGATGGTTTGCGGTGGCACTGAAAGGGGATCGAATCCAATCGTGTTTTTCTTGCGTACCTTCCTCTGGAAAGTACTTGTTAAAATGATCCAGAAGGGTTTGGAGATGTTCAGTAATAGACTCCCTGACAATATTTACACTCAATGTATTTTCCTCGAGGAATTCGTCTAGTGTGGTGAACATGTCTATGCGCCCAGTTTCCACTCGTTCTTTCCACCTCTTCACTTTGCGCACAAATGCCTGCACTTTATCATTAAGAGACAGGATGCTCGTGTTTTCGCCCTGCAGTGACATGTTAAGTCCGTTCAGTTTTTCAAATATAGATGACAAATATGCCAGCTTTGTAACCCAGCCAGGATCAGTGAGGTGCTCGGCGAGAGGAGATCTTTGGTCAGTGAGGAAAATGCGCACCCTTAGCAGAAGTGGAGGGCATTTCTTGCGGCTCACCCTCACTGACCTCCGCTGTCCTCTCGGATGTTCCCTCCGCAACTGCAGTTTTCGCACCATCAACCGGCCTCACCTGTGAATTTTCTCCCTCTCTCGGTTTTTCTGTTGTGGATATTAAACACCGTTTCATTTTTAAAGCAGGTATTATGTATTTGTAGCCTCCAACATTTAGCTTTAGCAAAAAAAAAAAAAAAAGCGGGACGTTGTCTTGCTGCGCGTGATGTATGTAGCTTGATTGTGATTGACGCTGACGTAATCTCGTAATGTCTGGGACAAAATTACACATTTAATTAAAATTTAAATTATGTTTTTATTTATTTTATTTATTTTTATCAGTGTTTTCTGCAAACACTTTTTAACAAGTATTGAATTAAATTAAAACATTTTCCCACTTTTTTTTAAAATACAAATCATCTCGCGACCCCTGCGCCAGGGTCCCGCGACCCCCGACCCCCACTTTGGGAACCACTGCTGTAGACTATCGAATAGCGTAAAGGGGCTAATAATTTTGACCTTAAAATGTTTTTTTTAAAAATTAAAAATTGATTTTATTCTAGCCAAAATTAAACAAATAAGACTTTCTCCAGAAGACAAAATATTATCAGACATACTATGAAAATTTCCTTAGTCTGTAAAACATAATTTGGGAAATATATATATATATATATATATATATATATATATATATATATATATATATATATATATATATATATATATATATTAAAAAAAAGAAATTCAAAGGGGGCTAATAATTCTGACTTCAACTATATATGTCTAGCCCCTTTTACACAGAGTAAAGATAAAAGTCATTTTAGACACATCAGCAGTCTTAGATAATATGTCAAATTTATGAAGGGTAAATGGGGTGCATAAGATCATGTAATCTGTCTGGACTGTATGTCTGCTGTTTTCTGTGATATTATGAAGCACCTGCCATTGTACAGTCCTGCTAATGTTCTTATTGAATTATCTGTTCTTTGACATTTCAATTACACATTTGACATATGACAGTACATAGGTATTATGTACTCCATCTTCCAGTGGAAAAACAGAGTACAGAAGTGCAGAAAATCATCAGTATGTAAATTTTTTTTATTTATTTAAAAATAAATTAATTAAAACTATTAAAATAATTATATTATTGAAAGTCTCACCTGAGTTCTGTTTCTCCACCTATACAGGCAGGCCCTTTTAATTTGGAGTCTAGGTTATAGAAGTGTCCGTGAACCTCTCGTACCGCCAGCCAGTGTCTCCGTCTCAGTGGGAGAGACACAATTCCCAGTGACACCCTTGACGGGACATTCAAAATGAAGCCCTGAATTTTGTCCAGGCACAAATTCTGTACTGACCTACACATAAATGAAGAAAGTTCAAGAGAAGTTTAAAAAAAAGACTTGTTTGATGTTATTTTTTCCTGGAAATCACAAAAGAAGATATTTTGAAGTATGTTTGCAACCGATAGGCTTCAGGTACTTTTCTACTGCAGGGTATGGCATGGTTTGTTTTGGTTATCCTCACTTTTGGGGGCTTTTCCACTGTGTACTGTTTTTAAAACTTGGTACTCTTTTAGTACCACCTCGGGTGAGGTTCCAAGTGAGCCGCACCATTACTAAAACATGCCGTATACAAAGATTTTCTTACTATGGAGGGGTGAAAATGTCTGTATTACCTATTATTGTGAAGCCCAAAATGCTAACTTGGTAATGTGAAGCACATCTGAACCAATCACATTGTGGCTTTTGGTCTCCAATAGAGGCAGAATTAGCACTAGCTATTATGCTATTCAGGCTAATAATTTCAAGCTTGCCTTCAAAAGGCTTTCCACATGCCCATATTGCAAATGCGCACAAGATATGTCCATGAGAATCGTCACTACCAGCATCACTGGATTTGTTATAAAACAAACAAAAACAAACACTACATTTAAAAAGTCAGCAGTTGGTTCACAAAACACAAGACTAACCTGTCTTTATACCCTTACTCACTTTACTTCGGCTAAGTCCCTGCTTTATCAAAAACCACATGGGAAGAACATGCAAACTCCACAGAGAAAGGCAACCCGGTACAGCTGGGATTCAAACCAGTGATCTTCTTGCTGTGAGGTAGGGCTGTGCAATTAATCGAAATCGAATTGCAATTTGAAACGTTGCGATTAGTTAAATCGCAAGAGGCTGCAGTATAAAATATTTATATGTATATATGTAAAGAAGAATAACGAATAACATCTGAGGTGATGTGCTTCGAAACCAGTCCGCTATGCTTCAGAAAATAAACATGCTATGCTTTCTGCGAGCATTGCAGACATGGTATTAGTTGTCGTGAACTATGCCACATTACACTAAAAGAAATGATTGAATCTTGCGTCACATTGTCCATTTGCTATTTACAACTCCCCATGACACCCTACGTCAAGGAAATCGCGCCGAAATCGTGTGATCTAACCGGGGCTTTATAAATAGCCAACTGAGTTAGCACACTTTTGTTCTGCCCAATCAGAATTGGGCAGCTGAACTATGCTCACAAAAAAAAAAGAAAACAAACAGGAAGTCGCTGACAAGTGGGATTGTGGCACCTGCATTCATGGACGAATTAATATCAAAGAAAAACAGCAGTTGTTTTATGGGAATATTTTGGTTTCAAAGTCACAGACACCGAACAAAAACAGGTCATTTTTAAGAGCTATTGCAGAATTGTTGCCACGGCTTACAGATTATTTGAGCTGAAGCTTGAATTAAATTGAAATCAGCTTGAAGCTTGAATTAAATCGTAAATCAAAAAGCAATATTTGACAAAAATAAATAAATAAACAAAAAAAAAAAAAAAAAAATCACAATTAGATGTTTTCCCCAAATCCCACAGCCCTACTGTGAGGCTCCCCTTTATCCCACCACAAGAAAAAGATGGCTGAAATGGCAGCATCAGTGTCAGTAGAAGAGGTCCAGATGTTCCTCTCATTGGTAGACAGTAAAGGCAGAGCAATTACAGTAATAATCTCTCCCCCCCTCTCCCCCCACCCACATTAAGTGGTAATAAACTGCAGTGGAAATGAAAACCCGAACAATAGTGAACTAAAGTGAGACAACAGTACAGTGCCATAAATGGAAAAGCTAATATTGATTTCCATAGTATTTGTTTACTACTATGAATGTCAATTGCCATCATTTTCTGTCATTCTTCAAAATATCTTCTTTTGTGTTTAGCAAAAATAAATTAATGAAGCGTTTTCACACTCACCTGCGCTTGTCCCACCAGACAGCAGCGAGTCCTCGACTCTGCAAAGCTGCCATGATGACATTGACATCATAGTTTCCCGTGCCCAGCACTGAGCGGTGTGGATTCATTACACACTGCGGGGCAAGTCTGCAAGGAACAAGCACATCTTTGGTTTAGAGTAAAGCTGCACGATATTGGACAAAATCTGATATTGCAATATTTTATTTTTCTGTGATAAATATAGTGATATGAATACAGTTTCACAAAAAGTTTCCTGGGGGGTCTAACAGGATATAGGTACAGAAATTAAATAATCAAAATGCAAAAAAGCTTTTCTTACTTTGTTTTGTCTCGTTTTTAGGTAAACATCTAAACATTCTTAGAGCAAGTAACAATATTGTTTTGTTTTTAACTTCAGAACAAATAGGTCCAAATTAAAAGTTTTTCCTTTAAACAGCCAGTGGGGCAAGCAAAATAGTCTTGTTTTTGCTTTGAAATGTAGATATTCAGACTAGAAACAAGATACAAATTCTAAGTGAGAAAATCTATTTTGTATAAATCATATAGATTCTGTGTTAATACAGTAATTACATACATTATAAATAAATACATTTCTGTATCTCCGGGTCAACTGTAGTTCAGAGTCAACATTGCATATCTTGCGATGTGACTATTGCGAATACGTACATTGCAATAACGATGCTGAAATGATATATATTGTGCAGCCCTAGTTTGGAGAATATAGAACAACAGTGAGAGAAGCAATGACATGAGAATTAAAATGTGTCTTGATCATTCTACATATAACAGCTCTTTGTTTCTAATCCTGCAAGTTTCAACACTTCAAACATCCTACTTATTATTAACCAAACATTCATTAAATCAAGCTGTAATAATGACTCAATTGCCAATAAAGTGACATTATGTCACATTGGTTGATTTGCATATACTCCACCTTCAGAATTCAGGCTCGGCCCACTGGCATGGACTTTTGTAGGATCTTAGTAGATTTAATTTGATTGTTTGAGTTTTACACCATTCTAGCTTCTATGATAATTTTTTATGGTAAGAAAATGTATAGTAGATTAAGGTGTCCCGATACAAAATTTAAACTTCCTATACGATACCGATATTGCAGCCTTTAGTACGAACCAATACCAATATAAATCCGATATCAGCACAAATCATGAATACTTTACTTTTACCTATTTCGTTGAGTGGAATGTATGAACAGCTAGATCAAACTGGGAACAAAAGTCAGCAAATATGGAAATAAAAACCAACTTATTAACTATTGGTTTCATAAATGTGAACCTTAACATAACAATATATTAAAAGAATTAAAGAATAAATATTAAGATCCTGAAAAATATCTTAAATAAACAGAATATTTATTTTTAAAGTGCAAAATACTAATTAAAGGTCACTTTAGTTATTTATTTTTTACCATCAGCAAATGCTAGAAACAGCTGAGAGCAGAAACATAGGAAAAAATATGGTTAACTGACCAGCTGCTAAAGATTGAGTGTCTAAAGTGTTAATTTCTCACACAGCTTTTTGATGCATTTTTTATCCAGTTTTAAGCTGAAAAAATATCTTTCAAACTGGGCAGCAGAAATAAGTTCACTGGAAGCTATTTTTATAAGTTATTGTTAAATTAATGAAAATGTGCAGTATGGTTTGTACAAACATTTACATGATCAGATCTATTCAATCTGTGTTTGTATCATAAGAAGATTGTGGCTGTATCAATGTTCCCAAACTTATTAATTTTATAATAATATATATTGCACATATTGGGCCCTATCATACGCCCAGCGCAATGCAGCGCGGCGCAAATGTTATTTGCTAGTTTTAGCTTGATGCAAGAGTCGTTTTGCACCGCGCTGTTTAAGTAGCAAATGCATTTGCGCATATATTTGCGCCCATAGGCGTTCTGGTCTAAAAAGCAAGGCGTTCTGAGGCGCACTGCTGGTGAGTTGCTATTTTGAGAAACTATAATAGATTTTTCATTAGACCAAAACAAACCCGGTCTAAACTCCGGCGCAGAGTTGCGCCTCGCTTACACACTGCTTAATAGCCTACACACAAGATGTAGAGCAATACGCAAATATCTTTACATATGAAAAAATTAAAATATTAAGGATATATATAGGATATAAAAAGAATATATATAGGATATAAATATAAAGAATTAAAATATTACAAAACATATTATTTTTTAGCCTAAATAAATTTGAAAAATCACTGCTTTTATGTCTTCTTCATCTCGGGAGGCTTTTTCAGTTCATTCATAACAATTTGCTTTTGTATAATGTTATTATTATTAGCAGTATTATTTATTATATCCATATTTATATTTGTTTTATTAAAAACAAGCTTAGATTTGCCCACCTGTCAGGTTTTAGACCATGATGGGGCACAGCATGTGTATTAGGTTATAACTCAGGTTTTTGAATACACTTCGTTTTTATTGTTCATTTATTCGTTTGCTGGAAATTAGAACTGAATTTATATATAGTTTTGAAACAAATATTTGCGCTTACAAACAAAATTAATTATTTATAGGCTAATAATGTCTGTGCATAAAGGTTTCCCTATCCACGAGAGCGAAAAAACTGTTAACTGTTTGCTTGTGAAATGCTCAGCTTTTCCACTTACACTACGTCATGTAAATAGCAAATGCGCTTATGGCGTGACTCAGCTGGCTCTTAAAGGGAATGGGAGATAAGAATCTGATTGGTTTATTCTCAAAATACACCTATAACTCATTAAGAAAATAAACTCAACCCTTTTAGACTATGCGCCACGACCCAAAGTGGATTTTCCCATCCTTTAATTAGCAAATATGGATTCTGACATGCCCTGAATGCGTTTGCGCCCTGCGCTTTCTGTTTAGCGCATGGACCGTCAAAATAGAGCCATCATACAAACATCTTTACCAAAGCCTCTCTACTTAAAGGTTGATCTCGCGAGTCCATCATGTTTGTAGTTTGTTTACACTTTTCACCCGCGTTTGTAGTTCTCATCGAATTCACGTCCAACTAACTATGTACTGTGGGCAATATTCGCGGTTAGAGTATGGACGGTTCTACACCTAAAATTTTGACCGGAAATAGTAAACCATCCGGGAAGCCTTTGACATCCTCTTTTCAACATACTACGATTTGGGTCATACTATTTCTATTTTCAAATACTATTTAGAACGAATAGTATGCTGATTGGGATGCAGCAATGCTCTTTGCACTGGTTGCCCGTGCACTATCGTGCCACTTTTTAAATTCTTCTCTTGGTTTTTAAATCACTAAATGGTTTGACACCTTCATATCTGTCAGACCTGTTCACTGAACATCAGCCTGGTCGATCTCTTCGGTCATCAAACCAGAGACTATTATACATTCCTAATGCCTAGTTCAGACTGCGTGATTTTAGCCCCGATTTCGGCTCGCCGACAGGTTTTGAGAAATCGCAGACAAATGCCTGAAATCACAGGCAAATCGTTGCTCGTGCACATGAGTGACAATCACACAGTATGAATGATCAAAGACGCGATCTGAGAGAATCGCCGATGAGTCGCCGATGCCTGTGAGATATTTGGCATGCTAAATATCTGGAGCTGTCGGCGATTCAAATCATGCCGTGTGAATTGAGTTTTGACTGAAAGTAACATCAGCGATCGCCTACAGCCAATGAGAGAGCAGCTTTCACTTGTGTGTGTGCGTGTGTATACCTGCTGCAGGCCAGCGGGAGGCTGGGGGAGAAGTTAAAAGCGCTCTTTTTCGGTTTATTTGGACCCACGAAATGGAGGGAAAACTAGTGGAGGTTTGACGAGACTCAGGAGCAGGACCGTGTCTGTTTGACATTTCATACAGAAAGAAATTAGTTTATTATCAACGTTAAGGAGAAATGGCTAATTCCCTTTAAACCCAGGTGAGCAAATATGTACATTTTCTACCCCATTAAAGGCTTCTTTCTCATTATGTAGTTAATACCAAAAGATATACTACATGTTTTTGGCTGTGAGACGTAGTTTGGACGAAGTTGTCGGAGATTCTCCCTATAGTAAAGTCGTGCAATGTGAATGTCCATGTCGCCGAACCATCTTGCAGTGTAAACAAAGCAGCGACGAAACGCAAGCCCAGATAGTCATGCAGTGTGAAAACATCTGTGACACGACTACTTTGAAAATCATGCAGTCTGAACTCGGCATAAGTCAAGGCTGAAATTCAGGGATGACAGTGCTTTTGCTGTAGCTGGTCCTAGATAGTGGAATGCTCTGCCCCTGTATTTTATTTATATCATATCTGTCTGTTTTTAAATCTAGGTTGAAAACTTGCCTTTTTGATTTGGCATTTTATCAGTGAGAATTGTTTGTTTTAGCTCTAATTTTATATCTTTCTCTTTGTGATTTGTATTGTATGAATGGTATGAATGGTACGAATTTCCATTTAGTAAAAAAAAATGGTGTTACATTTAGAAAGACACTAAACTCAAAATACTACACAATATGATTGAGTGTTTAAATCCATAGTGTGTAGTATGTCATTTGGGACGCATAAAGCCATCAGCTGTACTGGATCTGAGAGCCACTGCATTCAAATATGCAAGTTAATAATTTAACAATGCTTTGTCTTTGAATGACATTTTTTATATGTATGCTGTCTTTCACTTGCTATCATGTGCAATAGCGAGGGGATGTTGGTATTGTTTCCTATGCAATGATGTGAGCCGATCCAAACAGTGTCCATTACCTGAGAGGCTTTTAAAGACCCCACAGCCTCATAGAATTGTAAAATGCCTAGTGTCCACTGAGGGGTGGGGTTCAGTACAGTAGTTTGATTGAGTATGGATCACCCTGATCAGGCTTGTGTTTCCATTGCCAATAGAACCGTAACATGGTGGCGTCGTGTACAACAGAACAAACAGAAAGCCATTGGTTCTGTTCTGTTCACATATCATGCTTATCGTTCGTTACGTGGAACAAGTTTTTTCCTTTACAGCAGGGGGCACCAATCTTGGTCCTGGAGGGCCAGTGTCCCTGCAGGATTTAGCTCCAACTTGCCTCAACACACCTGCCTGGATGTTTCAAGTATACCAAGTAAGACCTTGATTAGCTTGTTCAGGTGTGTTTGATTAGGGTTGGAGCT